TATTCTATTCTATTCTATTCTATTCTATTCTATTCTATTCTATTCTAAAACAGCTTGTATTTAACACAAGATTGCTTACATTTGTACATTATTCTACTTCACAAATATATTGACTAATTTCATCAGGATGTAAAAGTCAATTTAAATCTGAACTCTGGTTGGGGGGTGGGGAGGCATTCTCACAGACTTTGGAAAAGCCATTGTTCACATTTAAACTTTTATATGTAACTATATCTTTCTATGGTTAAAAAAATTCTTGGATTTGCTGTTAAATATGGTACTTATTAAAGCCAGAGTTATTCTAGTATTCGTATTAATTTATGTAAAACATCTACATAAAATTTTCCCTGTTCAGAATCTCTCTTCTGAGAGATTCCTGCACATTGTTCTTGCACAATGCAGCAAATTCTAACAGTAAGACAACCAGGCAGGCGGAAGGAAGGAAGGAAAGAAAGAAAAAGGCACAGCAGGTACAGAACAAGACCATGATCCTTTCAAATTGAGTTTATCAGAAAAAGTCTGGAATCAAAAGATAGACATGGTTCAAACTTCAAACATAGTTCAAAAGTAGCATTCTTCCTTCTTGCCACTCAATCCACACATATTTTATAAAAATTGAGTTAAAGGGGAGAGGAAATGACAGCAGGTAGGGAAAGGAGTTAAAATGTTAAAATCAACAGAGTTTGAAGGGACCTTGGAGGTCAACTACTCCAACCCCCGCCCAAGCAGGAGACCTACACCATTTCTGACAGATGGAAGTCCAGGCTTTTCTTTAAAGCTTCCAGTGATGAAGCTCCTATAACTTCTGAAGGCAAGCACTGTCAGAAAATTTCTTCTTATTTCCAGGTTGAATCTCTCCTTGTTCAGTTTCCATCCATTATTCATTGTCTGGCCTTCAGGTGCCGTGGAAAATAGCTTGACCCCCTCCTCTCCGGCAGCCCTTCAAATATTGGAAGACTGCTATCATATCTCCCCTGGTCCTTCTCTTCATTAGATTAGCCATGCCCAGTTCCTGTAACTGTTCATTGTATGTTTTAGCCTTCGGTCCCCTAATCATTTTGGTTCTCTTCTAGACTCTTTCTAGAGTCTCAGCATCTTTTTTATAGTGTGATGACCAAAACTGGATGCAGTATTTTAGGTGTGTTCTTACTAAGGCTTTATAGAGTGGTATTATCAATGGAGCCATGGGTCTTATTTGGACATACTGATTTAACTGCAGGAAAGCTTGCATTGTACTAAATCAACATAAACTAGTTCAGTTCAATTCAATCAGATATAGAGAAATGTGCATAGTATTGACACAACTTCTTGCACTTTCAAAATCTCTACAAATTCTGACAAGACTCCCTGAACTGAGTTAAGTAGGAGAAAGAGACGTGAATAAGGGGAAGATGCTATATAGGGTTCTTTATAAATTTTACATCTTTCTCTTTTTTAGATGTTCACAGTGCTTCACCCTCTAACATTGAACCTGAACCCACTCATCTCGAAGTGGGAGTTTCTCTCCAAGGAATAACAAAGATTTATGAATCCAAAGCTGCTGTTCAGAATCTCAATCTGAATTTTTATGAAGGAAATATCACCTCATTGCTGGGTCATAATGGAGCTGGAAAAACTACCACAATGTAAGTTCTGTTAGAAGAAAAATGTCTCAGAATAACTAACAAAGTTTATTGAGTATAACATTACATTGAGAATAACATTTCATTTTATTACATTACATTACCACACTAATGTAATGTTTCTTGAGTCCTGTTATCTGCCAGGTTGGGATCTGGTACATTTCCTGGATCGAGGATCTTTTTGTTTTCAGAGCTGGGTTGAGAATGGCAAGAATCAATTGTCCCCTCCCCCCTTATTTCTGAATTCTGTAACCTAACCAGTCTACAATCTCCATGATGATAGATAAGCTTTTGGTCTTATTTCTGGACTTTCCTCATTTCTTTCCCCACTCCTAGAGAACTCAGAAGAAGTGCCATTTTAGATGCATGTTTTGGTACTGATCACATTTCAGTCTTTTCTGACTCCAAAGAACTGCTGGGAAGAACTGTTTTTCAATTTGCTAGGGGCAAAAATGCCCTATCCCACTAGATCAAGGCTCTTCAAACTTGGCAAGTTTAAGACTTGTGGACTTAAACTCCAAGAATTCCTGAGCTAACATGACTGGAGGAGGAATTCTGGGAGTTGAAGTCCACAAGTCTTAAAGCCGTCAGGTTTGAAGACTCCTGCACTAGATGGTCATTCCAGGTAGCCAGATTATATATCCCAGTCCCAGGGTTCGACTCTCATGCTGTCACTGGCAGTGAGTGATTTGTGAATACAAAGAATTAATGGCAGTCTCATCTTTACCCTCATCCAACGTAGAATTGGTCCACTTTTTTCCCCTTCAGTTTTTATACCAATGTAACTACTAACTTCTATTGAATAAAAGGTTGATATTTTTTCTCAACTTTTCTTCCCTTTCCCCCATATAGATCTATACTGACAGGTTTGTTTCCTGCTTCATCTGGCACTATATTTGTTTATGGCAAAGATATCAGAACTGATCAAGATTTCATCAGGAAAAATATGGGAATTTGCATGCAGCACAATGTATTATTTGATTACCTCACCACAAAGGAGCATCTGCTTTTATATGGCTATATCAAGGTGCCCCAATGGAGCAAAGAAGAGTTACAGGAAGAAATAGACCGGTATGTCATAGAATTTTTAACAGCATAAAACAGTCTTCCTTTTATGTTTGTTAAATATTTCTCTTTTTCCTTTTGCAAAAAACTATGTAAGAGTGCAATTATTTAGTAGCACTAACATCACTCTGTGGAAAATAAATTTGGGGAGAATGCTTATATACATACATACATACATACATGCATGCATGCATGCATGCATGCATGCATGCATACATACATACACACCTATCATGGTAAGCCCTTTTAGGATAAGTAGTATAAAAAACACACTGTGTTTATCCCAAAAGGGCTTAGCATGACAGGTATTGTATATACATAGGTATGTATATAAGCATTTCCCCCAAATTCAGTCCTCAGTGATATTTATTTATTTAGATGAAGGAACAGTGAATGTACTGAAAGGAAGCAATGACTTATTATATAAGACTTCTTCTTATAAAGAAAAGAAATCAAAGCCATAAGAATAAAGTAAAATAAATTAAGTCTAGTCTACACTAACCCCATTCACTATGCACTCTCTCTCCTAACTTTCATTTCTGCAAACCATTCTTACTTTTACTATCTGCAGGCACAACTTCATACATTCCTTTTTATTCTTTAATCTAATCTTTCTCTTTTTAAGGATCTCATCAATTCTATTGTCTTACAACTTTCTTATAAGTGTCACAGTCTTAATTTCCTTTCAACACATTCACTGTTCCTTCATATATTTGTTTTGCTGTTCAAATCTCATTCAGTCTTTCTGTATGACCAAAATCAACACATATCTTCTGTACAGGTCATTCTTTTTTTTCCAAGTCCCATCCATTTGTTTCCCTTTTCTACATATTATACAATATCTTTTTCTTATCCTCATTTCTTGCTGTGCATTTATCTAACTCAGCCTTAACAAATTCTGGTCTTCAGTCCCAGAGTTTCCCCATTAGCATGGCCATTGCTGATAATCCAAGAGGTCCATGCATCTGGAAGTTCCCAAGGCATGGAAATTCTTCAAGATTGCTTTGATTTTTTTTTCTATCATGCTAGCTATTACATCCTATTTTTCACACTCTGCAGATTTGATAAGCAATGCCTTTACCTCCATATTCAAGTCAATAATTAATAATATATTGACGAATGTGAATGTGAATGTTTGCAACCCCCCTTTATCTTTATTCACCTACAATCACATATGATATTCCATGAAATGACAACAAAAGTAGAACAACCTTTTCTTACAAGGAATATACTTTCTATATAACATTCTTGCTCTGTTGACCAAAATCGAGCTTATAGTTAGTTGGAAAACACTTGATGGAAGCCTTACAAAGTTCTCATATCATGATGAGTTTGCTAGCATTTGTCCACTGCACAAATGGGCATTGAAGTCCTTTATTGCTGCCAATTTTTAATAATGCGTCTTAATGAAATATTTGATAATACTTGGCTGATTCTCATTAAAAACCAGCAGGGTGCTAAATCATGCATAATATTTTCCATGTCTTCTGTGATTGGGAAGTTTTATGCTGAAACTAAGCTGTCATTTAAAAAAGATTGTAATAAACAAAGGAAAGTGCTTGTAGTTTAAGGTTTATTTCAGGAGCTCTGTTTTGCTTTATTCTCCATGTTATGTTACTCTGTTATGACTGAATCATGTGGTGCCTTATGCAAACGTCCCGTTCCCCCCCCACCCCCCGATTTTAAAGAATCATCAGGATGTTCAGGATGATAAAAATATTGAAGATCATCTAGTTAAACCTCCTGCACAATCCTACAGCATCCTGACAAGTGCCTGTCCGAATTTTCTTCAAATATCTCCAAGGAAGGAGAGTTAACAATAACAACATTAACAAGTAAACTGTTAATGTAATACCTTTGTTGAATCATTGAACTCTACTATTAAGATTTCCTGGTGTGCTTTCAAAATCCAAGTCCTTGTAATTTAATTGTTACTTTTTCTGATTTTTTAAAACTAAAATTATCATTCTTTCTTCTGCGTATTTACAAAATAATGTTCTTTCTGGGTGCTGTTTTGAAGGATTTTGAAGGAAACTGGATTATACAACCATCGTCACAAGTTGACAGGCTCTTTATCAGGAGGGATGAAGAGGAAGCTATCTATTTCAATTGCTCTACTGGGAGGTTCAAAGGTTGTAATTTTGGATGAACCAACCACTGGAGTTGATCCCTGTTCTAGGAGAGGCATTTGGGAAATCATATCAAAGAACAGAAAAGGTAATACGGGCAGGTTATTGTGATTTTAGCTTTTTAGAGCAACAAGTATTACTACAATATTAACATAATAACAGGTTAAGCTTGAATGACTATTACAAATATAGTCACAGTTATGGAACAACAAACATACATTAAAGAAAAGTTTTCAAATGTTAAACTTTCTCTTTGATAAGAAGAGAGGCCTGCGCAGCTGCTCTCCTGCAAAATAGCAGTAGGAAAAGCCAAGAATACCTGCAGACTTTGCCTCTTCTTGCTCCATGGCTGGTTGAGTTCTAGCAGGAGAGACATCATTGCAGAAAAGGCCAACTTTACCCAAGCACCAGGAGCTCTTTGTCCTGGGTGAAAAGACCACCTACTGCCATAGATGGAGAACCAGCAGCTCATGGCTCTTGGTGACTGTAAGATTGGATGCCAGTTGTGGGTGATAAATTGACTTGTAGCAGTGCTGGGATTCAAATTTTTTACTACCGGTTCTGTGGGTATGGCTTGGTGGGTGTGGCAGGGGAAGGATACTGCAAAATCTCCATCAGTCAGAGGTGGTATTTGCCGGTTCTCCAAACTACTCAAAATTTCTGCTACCGGTTCTCCAGAACTGGTCAGAACCTGTTGAATACCACCTCTGACTTGTAGATATGTGATAAAATGTGCTGGAAATCTCAAATTGGGATTATTGATAAACAGTCTCCAGCATTCCTGAATTGTTCTAAAAAAAGAAAGAAAATTGTTTATGCTGACTGGTTCTTCCCCAGGAGAAAAGAAAGAAAACTGCCAGTGTTTATTTCATTCTTCCCATTGTTTTGAATCCTTTTCTGGCCTCTGTACCCAATGAGCTCCTGAGTTTGAGCAATTCATTTTTCACTTGACAATTTTTCTCCTGCCACAAGAATCTGTATGGAAATTGTAGTGTAATTGTCCCCTTTATATATTCTTTTCAGGCAGAACAATCATCCTTTCTACACATCACTTGGATGAAGCAGAGGTCTTAAGTGATAGGATTGCATTCTTGGAACATGGAGGTCTCAAATGCTGTGGGTCCCCATTCTACCTCAAGGAAACTTATGGTAGTGGATACCACCTGACACTTACTAAAGAAAAGGTTTGGAGCAATAATTACTCTCAGTATTTAATAAAAAGTAGGAAATTCTAATAGTAATTTCAAAATCAAAGTAAGCTCTGGTGGAAAAAAAGTATCTTAATGAAAATGATACTGTATTCTTTATTGATTGAGTGATTGATTAGCCCTTGGGCCTTATCAAAGTGAAAAGTTCCAGAAACAAATTATTACTAAAATTTGATAAAATGGCTTTAATCAATTTATAGGTTTCAGTGACAGATGAGATCAAATCCAGAGACAGAGAGTATAATCTTACTTCTCATGGTATTCTGTAAATTTTTGAACAAGTTTTGAGGAGCATGTAGAATGTTCTGACATTCTCCAAGCCATCAGTAAAAATTGATTTAATGATTTAAGACAGGACTGAACTTGGCTAATATTATTGTAAATACAAGACTATGGATATGGTACAGTAATGATAAATATTGTTAGTTGATGAATTACTCTTTTAATTACGATTATTTCAAAAGTTGTTATTGGTTTGTTCAAAATTTGCTTACAATTTCCCAATAGTTTAGGAAAATTTTTAGTCATTATGTACTCCATAGTATCTAAAGAGATTTCTTGTTCTTTATATAAATTGGTATAATAATTCTAAAAAAGTATTTGAATGTTTTTGTTGTCCATGTCAATCTTATTCCCTCTTGAAGCTTGGTTATCATCTTCTTTTCTGTTTTCTTAGTGCATATACCAATTTGGTTTATTTGCCTGTTCAGAAAAGTGTTGTTTCATATTTTTAGGTTTGTTTTCAATATTTGAAACAGTCAGCAAAGATATTTGTTGTTTCAATCCAAAATCCAAAATGTGTTACAAGAAACTAAACTGAAGGAGAGGGAACTCCAGAATTCACCAGGAGATTGTAATATACAATCTTCTTGTAATATACAATATACTTATTACAATCTTCTTGTGAATTCTGGAGTTCCCTCTCCTTCAGTTTAATTTCTTGTAACACATTTTGGATTTTTTCATCCATCTTTCTCTTAATTGCTGTATTGTATTATATAAAATGTCCTCATATCACAGCCTTACAAGTATCCCAAGCTGTTGTCAAATTGACTCCCTTACCTAAATTATTGTTAAAATAGTCTTAAATATCTGTTTGCATTATTTAACAATCTGTGGTTTCTGCAAAATAGATGCATTTAATCTCCATTTAAAAGAACCAAATTTAAGATGCAAAGTCATTGGATTATGGTCAGAAAATATTTTGGAAGAATAATAAAAATTATAAATTAATTATGAATTAATTATAAATAGTTGTTTTGTTGAAGTAGACTTTTTGTAATCTAAATCATATCAATTGTAGAAAAGGATTTATGTGTGTCTGAAAAAATGGTAATGTCTTTTGTTAGTCCATTTTTATACCTCCAAATATTGATCAAATTTAAAGTATCAGCTTGAAAAAAGTTTGGGGCAGTTCCCCCTGTGTTTCTTTGATTCCTTTATCAGCTGATCTGTCCAATTGTGGGGTTACCTACCCCATTGTAGTCTTCAATTACAGACAAATATTGAAAAGAAGTGTCCAGACAGATGTTTTTAAAAAACCTGGCTTTTTCTTGGTGTGGGGTGTATAATCGCACCATAATTCATTTTATTCCCTGTAATTCAATTTGCACAATTACATACATGCCTTGATCATCAGCAAAAAATAAATATGGATGTAATTGGGGTTTTATAAACAAAACTACCCCGTTAGTTTTTTTCTTTGAATTAGCAGAAATAAATTCCAGACCCACAGTGTTATTTGTTAACTACTTTTTCTCAGTCCCTTTAATATGAGTTTCTTGCAAATACATTGTATCATGGTTCACTTTTTTAAAATAACGAAAGAAACTTTTTTCAGTTTTGTGGGGAATTTGCCCCATTTACATTTCATGTCTTGCAAACCATCTGTTATGAAGAGGAAGTTTCAGGGAATCGAGCTGAGGCTCCCATCTTCACAGGCTGTCCTTGATAAGCATCAGACCTCTTTTTATCTTTTTGTTTCTAATCTTTATCTTCTGAAAAATAGTGTAGTTTCGATCTGTGTTTTTCCAAAAAGTCTTGTGCTTTAAGGACTGAGTTTAGTCTATACCATTGATTTTAAAAGATAGCCCCTTCCAGCTTATCCCAGTGAAAGGAAATATTATTTTGTTTCAGAAAATCTGTCAGAGAAAATATTCCTTGTGTTTCCTTAATATTGTAAATGAAATTTCTCTAAACTTCAAGCTGGGTGCCATATTACTAAGCCTTATTATCATGAGAGAAAACTAAAATGAATTGGAGGATCTGCACCTCTACCTCCTTTTTTTAAACTCTTACTTTCAGTGAGCAATCATGTGTCTTGGCCACTCCAAAGCAATGCAAAAGCACCAAAAGTGCTCTTTCAAGAGGCAACTGGACTTTCTGGAAACCAAGAAAGTCCAGATGCCTCTTGAAAAAAGCGTCTTTGGGACAACCATGACTGGAAGACTGAAAAATCCCCATAGACAACAGACTCCTGTGCTCAGGGAGCTGACAAAGCACCTTTCACACCCAGGAGAAACAATTCTTAGAGCCATTTGAAACACTTAAAGATACCAGCTGGTCTCACTCACCACATAAGATATCCTAAGGAAATCATCCAGATTTAAGGAAAGATCACATGGCTGCAGAAAGGCAGTAAAAAAAATCAGTGCCAAGCTTGCATCCTGCCTCTTGGAAGTACATTCCAAAAGGACAGTGCCAGGAACCACTAAAGCAATGTAAAAAGCTTAAAACAACCCTTCCCCTTTAAGAAATTCAAGCCCCTAATAAAGCAAAGCAAAGTACCAGCAAAGAAAAAACAAACCCTGGAGAAGCTCAGGCAACAGTAAGTCTGGGCGTACTGCCAGGAACCTTTAGCAGTTTAGCTGTTACAATGTAATCAGGTTTAACCAAGAGGCTGTTTATTTAAGCAGGGCAATAAAAAATAGGCTAGAAACAACACCAGAATATTTCCTTCCTACCTTCCTTACAGGACTAGCTCTGTAAAGTAGAAAAAACAAAACAAAAAGACATTTCTTCCAACAACCGGTTCTCCGAACTGCTCAGAAAGTTAACAAACGGTTCTCCCGAATAGGTGGGACCTGGCTGAATCTCAGTGTGTGTGTGTGTGTGTGTGTGTGTGTGTGAGAGAGAGAGAGAGAGAGAGAGGGAGGGAGGGAGGGAGGGAGGGAGAGAGAGAGAGAGAGAGAGAGGGAGAAGGAGGGAGGTGGCATTCAGGTTCTGACCAGTACTGGAGAACCGGTAGCAGAAATTTTGAGTAGTTTGGTGAACCGGCAAATACCACCTCTGACTGGAGATTTTACAGTCTCCTTCCCCTGCCAGGCCCACCAAGCCACACTCACAGAACTGGTAGTAAAAAAAATTGAATTCCAGCACTGGTGTGTGTGTGTGTGTGTGTGTGTAAAGATAATACAAAGGTAGTCCACAAAAATATTTAAAAGTGTTTAAAACATTATAAAAAAATGCACTGTCTGATTATTTGTAATCTACAAACCAAGGTAGAATGATAACGGCAACTCAAGGCAATAAAAGCTTACCATCCAGACAATAAATATTTGCGAACCAGCAGTAAAACTTTACAATAGTTGTAAACAACTTTTTGAAAGGTTAATTCAGTTTTCCCTGGATTATTCAATATGTATATATAAATCATATTTAATTCATTCATGATTATTTAGCTAGTAAAGGCATAATCTTTATAAATCCTTATAAATATGCAGAAAGAAAAAGAAAAAAATATCCTTGCAAACACACTTAATTCAGTAGACGGGGGAGGGGGGAGGGAGAACACTCATGCAAACAGATCTATGCCTAATTCATTTTACAATTATGTCAATATAAGTATGTTCGGTTGATGGTAAAAAGGACGATGCAGTCAATATTGAAGAAAAGCAGTTCACTATATAAATAAAATTTTCTCAATGCTGGGATGCTGTGCTGTGTTTTGTCATCAGCAGAACAAAGGAAACTGTAGACAGACCATACTACACAGCAAAACCCAGCAAAATAAACGTTGCATCCCAATAAATGTTTGATTTCCAAGATTTCTCTTCTCTTCCAGTCCAGTCTTTTCCTCCATTCACCTTTTTTTCCTTGTGGTTACATTTTTTTTTTAGGCTTTTAATTAGATTATTCAGGAGAGCCGCGCTTCTGCAGTCTGCTCTCGCTGGCTATTCTCTGTTCACTTCAGCTCTGTGGATAGGAATTTAAATATCCACCAAACTTTTTGCTTTTCCAAATGTTCTGGTGCAAATTAAATTTATGAGAACCGTGGTGGTTAACCTTTTCAGCACTGGGAGAATGTGTGCCAGCCACCTGGTCTTCTGGTTTCTAACGTGTATATGCGTGCGAAGACCAGCTGGTGGGCGCACATGCAGGTGCCGGAACCCAGAAGAGCGACAGGCAACAGCTGGCGTGCCCGAAGAGATGGCTCTGCATGCCACTTCTGGGACCTGTGACATAGGTCCGCCATCACGGTATTAGAGTTTCTTTTAAATATGCATTTAAAAGAAAGTCCATGTATTTAAATATGTGCATTGCATGGCCTTTTAAAACAGACAATTAATGGAAAACTTTATCAAAATTATCAAATATATCAAATTTGGCATGACCAGGTTTGTACATATCTTGCATATTTTAAAAGAATTTCATTGGATATCTATTAAATTTTGGACTTTTTTTGACTATTCATATTTATATGTTGCCCAAAGCAAATTGCTAAAATCTTTAACCAAGGCTGTTTTTCAAAGGCTCATCATGAGAAAATATAGTTTAAGGCTATCTGCTTCTTTGCTGCTATACTCCATAACCAAAAGTCCTCCATAAAGAAGCTAACTTATTTCCCATGTTGAATGTTTTGGGCCAAAGCTTATGCAAATTAGGATATCTAATCTAGACACTTAAATTGCAAGCCAATTTCCTGCTGTCTATATCCATCAACTAGCAGATACAGTTTACTGATGTACTCAGGATACCTGAATATAATTTTATTCAGTTGTTTCAAACTTAATTTCCTTCTCTTGTATCATGTTTTATGGTATATTATGATCATTAAAATTTTGCTGTGTGGTGCTTTATTATCCCCTTATGTTTCCCCAGAGCTCAGTTCTGAATGTAGGAGAATGCAATACCTCTACTGTGACAGCCACAATACAGGCTCATCTTCCAGAAGCATATCTCAAAGAAGATATTGGTGGAGAACTTATCTATGTACTTCCTCCATTTAACAATAAAGTTTCTTTATCCTATCAGTCTCTTCTGAGAAACCTGGATAGTAATTTAAGTGATCTACATATTGGCTGCTATGGAATTTCAGATAGCACTGTAGAAGAAGTAAGCATCTAGCACATTTTTTTTACTACCGGTTCTTTGGGCATGGCTTGGTGGGCGTGGCAGGGGAAGGATACTGTAAAATCTCCAGTCAGAGGTGGTATTTTCTGGTTCTCCAGACTACTCAAAATTTCTGCTACCGGTTCTCTAGAACTGGTCAGAACCTGCTGAATACCACCTCTGATCTAGCGGCTTTAAACAATCAGATTTATTAATATTTTATAAAATTGTATTATTTTGTTGCACTGTGAGCCAAATGTTTAAACTGGATTTGTCTTCCCCCCATCTATTAAGATCTTCCCTTAAGGACCTGGGATAGGCAGATGTTCTTTTATTGTGTTAAAATTATTATCACAAAAAAGTAAGTTGTTCCAAGTAAAGCTGCCTCTTGCAATTGACTAGTGGTGGTTTTATGAATGCTGATGGTATTCAAGTGATGCTTGTTATATTTGCAGTTATTATTATTCACTGAATATTTAATTATATGTAAAGATAGGAAAATTTGTTGAGACTTCATTTTAATGTGTCTCAAATGTATGTGGAACTCATATATAATTTGTATACTAAAATAGGTATTTAAAATTGCACTTAGTTTGCATCACAGGATTCAGTAAAACAATATATTAAGATTATATGCAAAACCATTTGAAAAAAATATACGTTTAGAGTTGCACCAAATGCAAACTCAAGTTTATATGAACTTTTTTTAAAAAGTTGCAAACTGATCTGGATCAGGAAATGAAAAAAATAAACTGAAGATGGGAAACAGCAATGACACCAGTGATGGGATTCAAATTTTTTTACTACCATTTCTATGGGCATGGCTTGGTGGGTGTGGCAGGGGAAGGATACTGTAAAATCTCCAGTCAGAGCTGATATTTGCTGGTTCTCCGAACTACTCAAAATTTCTTCTACCAGTTCTCCAGAACTGGTCAAAATCTGCTGAATACCACCTCTGAATGACACCTTTCTCTAATTGTAGGGGGTTCTTTGTCTAGTAGTGCATTTTTGTCAGTCAGTGTGAAAGACCATAGAGGAAATTAATATTCTCTTTCCATTATGTTTACATGTTATATCTATGCAATGGCTTCTTATGAGGATGGTCATTTACAAAGTAGAAACTGTATGAATAAAAGTTATTTACAGAACTATGAACTGACATAAGATTCTGCACACAAACTGGAAACAATCAGTCTAACTTAAACATAGAGCATATGTGAAATTGCATGTGTTTTCAATCTTGAGTGCAGGTAGAAATTTTTAATAGATCAAGATCAAAAATATTTGGTTTAGGAATTGTGAGAACTGAAATTAAAATATTTTTAATATTACTGTTTTGCAGGTATTTCTTAATTTGACCAAAGATTTTGCAAACGATGAACAAACTGAGGCAGAGTTATCTCAAGAGGGACCCAGTTTTAATGTGGATAATGATGGCTTGTCCATGAACTCTAACAATGTCTTTGAACCAGATGGTATGAAAATAGTGTAATTTTTCACTGGCTGAAGTTTTTATCAAAGGAAAAGCTTGTAGTATCTAGAACAGTGTACAGTGAATTACAGCAAGATGGCATTTTTAGCAAGATTGTGAAATATCAGGTTAACTTCACAAAAACGTAAGCTGGATTGATAATAAATTGGGTGGACAGGACAAAATCACTAAGTATGGCTGGTGATGGAGCAATTTCAGGCTACAATTAGAGATAAGATAGCTTTGTGGGAACTCCAGTATCTCTTAACCTGAAATCAAACACTGTTCATGACTAGAAATATAATGAGGAGTTATTCTGTGCCATTTCATCCTTGATCTGTTTTGTCCCTCAGAAATTAGTTTACCAAGAAAAACTACTTCCATCTCAGACTTTAGTGAGAAGGTGGGAAATGGTGACATAATCTAATAGGACCCTATGCCTAGGCTAAGGAATAATTCACTTGCCACTTAAATTTTATATAATTACTTAATAATTGCAATGGCTCCTTAAATATTATTCAGTTATTGAGACATAGGCTGAGTTATAATTAAGTACAAGGCTGCTACTCAGCAGCAATCCACAAACTCCAAAATCACTCCCCCACCCCCCCACCCCAGTTATCATATGAAACAAGAACAATGAATGACTGGGACTATCACTAACTTCATAGATCTTGTTTTTGTCAAAGATGCAAACAACCATAACTAATTCAGGAAATCAGACCTTTAATGCTAGAGCTCCCTGGCTGTGGAGAAGATATTCAATTACCTGTATATCTGGCAGTAGCACCTTACCTCCTTATAGGCCTAGGAACAACCTTACTGAAACACCATGTTCTCTCAGACTGTTTAATCTACTGATCATGTAGCTTTTCATTCTTTCCATTATAAGCACAATATAGGCCTGAGGGGAGAATGTTGATGACCCAGGATGAGGGGGGTTAGATAGGTTGCCTTACCAAAAGCAAAACACAGCCATTTCCAGAAGTGCATTTGGAAAAGAAGAAACATAGTGTGAGTCCTAACGTCAATCCTGCTAATAAGGCAGCAGCCAGAATTTAGGATTGTCTAGGACAGGCTCGTCCAACCTGCGGCCCAAGGGCCGCATGCGGCCCAGGTCACCTTGTAATGCGGCCCAGTGCCCACCCCAACCTTCGTGCCAGAGCCAGCGAGGAGGAGGAGGAGAAGCAGGCGCGAGGCAGGGCGAGGCGAGCGCCAGTCCAAGCAGCAACAGAAAAAGCAGGTGCCCTCAGAGCACCACCTCCTGCTGTTGCCACCACCGCCATCGCCGCCGCTTCTGCCCCCGCCGCTTCTGCCCCCACTGCCACTTCTGCCCCTGCTGTCGCTGCCGCTTCTGCCCCCGCCGCCTCCGCTTCTGCCCCCGCCACCGCTGCTGCTTCTGCCCCCGCCGCTGCTGCTGCTTCTGCCTTCTAGTCCTGCCTCATCCAGCCGGGCCATTTGCAGGAGGAGAGGTAGGCGCGAGGCAGGCGAGCTTTCTCCCCCCCCACCCCTGCAAAATTTGGCCTGAAAATAAACCATGATAAAAAAAACGTGATAAAAAAACTGTGATAAAAAATAAATAATTTTTAATAAATAATTAATAATAAAAACATCTCACTAACTTCATTTCCAAATAAATTTAATATGTTAACTATGTTTTCTATGTTTTTTTTTGGATGATCAGGTATCGTTACTGTTATTTTATTTTATGTGCGGCCCAAACCAAATTTTCATCTTCTAATGTGGCCCAGGGAAGGTGAAAGGTTGGACACCCCTGGTCTAGGATTTTAAAAGAGAAATAATATTTTTGTATGGTTTATGTGTACTGGTGGGATGAATTGGGTAAAACTAAGTATAATAAGGAAACAGAATTAAATCCTTATGTATTTCTTTTCCTTTTCTTTTTGATGAATAGATGAAGTCCTGATTAAGTCAGGAAAGCCAAACAATCTTTCTCTCCTGCTGAGGAAGGCCACAGCATTGTTCATTAAACGTTTCCATCACACTCGACGCGATGTGAAAGGCTTTATTGCTCAAGTTATCCTTCCTGTGCTCTTTGTGACAGCTGCTATGGGCCTGGGCACCTTGAGAACCAAGGTGGCAGAATACCCAGCTCTCCATCTCTCACCAGCCTTGTATGGTTCTTCCGGCCAGTCAGACTTCTTTGGGTAACTATTCATTTTTAGTAATTCAGTTGGCTTAATGGAATGTGATGCACGCGGAGTAAGAGGGGTGACCAAATCGTCACCAGTGTGACTAGAATCATTATAGTTCCTTGTATGTATGAGATATGCTAAGAAAATGAAGGATAAGAGACAGAAAAAAAATACTTTTTGTTAACTTCAGCAGTATCATACTTTCTAGAGTTTTAAAAGTAAAGCAAATTATAAGTTTATGTCAGCTCTCCCAGATAAACCAGACAAGAAACATTGACTAGATGAATTAATTCTCCCCCCCCACCCAAGGCTATCTTAAAAAAATATTGTAAAAGTACAAAGTTCCCAGTGCCACGTTTGACTGCTTGATCCATCAGGGAGGGAACTTCTTGAAATTCCACTGGGGTTATGCCACTGGGGGTTCTCTGGTTGTCTTGACTAATTGTTCCCTAGGCAGCATCTTTTCCTCTTGTTCCCCAATGTCATTCATACATTCTATTGCATTTTTATAAGGCTTATCAATATAGCCCAACAATTCAGTAAGCTTTCAGGGTATTCAATTAATTTGAGCAAATCTCATATTTGCCACCATGTGCTGCTAAAATTCTCCAAGTGTTTATTCATTTTTAACCTTCAGTTGGGTGAAACAGTGTCCCATGGGGCAACCATTTTTGAACCAAACATTACATTTTGAATTTAACCAAACATTACATTTTGAATTTAATTTACAGAACGCCAGAACACATTATTCCTATGGGAATGAAATACGAGAAATTTATCATATGTTTGCCATGTCAAATATTCCCTGATAGCTTTCCACAAGTCAGTGGGGAAGCCAGGAGGAAGTATACATTTTATTGTGACTGTTGAGACTCCTTGCCAGCTTCCCACAAGCAAACTGGAAGGGAGTGTCAACAATGAGGAAGCCACCAGGGATGGTTGCAAGTTGCTCAACCATACAACTTCTCTAGGCTTGTGCGCTTATATCACATCAGCCACTTGCATAGTCCTGTGCACCTTTCCCAACCTCTACCTCATCCCCAGGTAGCCTCCCTGACTTACGTTGTGGCTCTTGTGCATACCATGAACCCTTCCCAACCCACACTGTGTCCTTCCTGATCTGCACAGAACCTCTCACATATCCTGCATACCTTCCTAATCCACACCATAACCTCACACAGAAGAAGTGCTGCACAATTCAGGGATGGTGTGTGGGGTGCATGAAACATGACCCCTGGTTTGGGATGGAAGTATGCAGGGTGTGACATGGATCAGGAAGAGTGCACAGGGATGCAAAGGGATGACTGTTTGGTAAGGAAATTCTTCTGAAATGCTGATCCTTGGATCGCAAAGGAACTACTACCTCTTATATGTTCATGGAATCATTTGTGAACTGGAGTTTTACTAAGAATTTTGAGCATATTAAATATCTTATAATTATCTAAAATTGGAAATTTTGTTTCAAGATAAATATTTCAATGGCCCTCATTTAAAAAAAACTTTGTTAAATTACCTAAGGGGGAAAAAAGAAAACAAAAAATAAATTGAGGCTCTTGTATGCTGCTCCTCTCCAGAGGGAGGCTGGACCCATTCATATGGTCCACCCCTGGTGATGGATGGATCCTGATGGGTCCCAGATGGAACTGGGGATATCTTGGAGTTGTTGCTGCACAGTCCTGCTAAAGGCGTGGCAGCAGCTGGAATTTAAGGGTGGCCGCAACTTTGGACAGGATCACGTCATGCAGCCTCTCTTGACTCATCCTTCCAGACCCTCCCCATGGGTTACACAGGAGCTATGGATTCTGAAAAGAGCCAAGAAATGCCTAGAATATCGCTGGAGGAAGACAAGGGATGACTCTGACCAGACTTGACTTAGATCTGCTATTAAGACCTACTACTGAGATTAGCCATATCACTCATGCCAGCAGAGAGGCATATTGCAGGTTCCATCAACCTGATTTTTCTGGCTGGTGAGGTCTAGGAGGAAGGCCTTCTCTGCTGTTGCTCCTGCCCTCTGGAACATCTTGCCCCCTTCTATGTGAGGTGTGAGGTTGGCACCAATCCTTCTAGCCTTTCATAAGGGCCTAAAGATGTGGCTCTGCCAGTCAGCTTGGAGCTCCAGTGTGAGAACAGTGCAATGGAAGTAGTTGATTGAGTAATATCGTAACAGATTCCACCTCCTCCACTCTGCTCCCACCCTCCCCACGTCTCCTTGGTTTTAATGTCTGATATTAACTTTTAATGTTTTAATTGTATATGTAACTGTAAGCCACCCAGAGTTACCCTATAGGCAGCAAATCAACCAACCAATCAACCAATCCAAAATAATCCCTTCAAAAACAAGGAACATCAAAATAAAATAAAAAATAAAAATAAATCACATGAAATATTTAAATAGTGTGTGTGTAGATATTAGTATTCTGACACAAGATAGTTTTCTTCAGTTTCCATTGTCATTCAGTTTTAACATGGGATATTCAGGGATTCAAAAGAATGTCGACTATCCTGTTGATTACTTATACTTGCCTTGAAATTGCAGTTAACCATTTGGTTTGTTTGTGTGTTTAGGAATTTCAATCAAACCACAGATATTTTGGTTGCTTCATTGTTCTCTTTTCCTGGAATAGATAATATCTGCCTAAACAGAAGTAATTTGTAAGTAGCTCTTCTTCATTTTTAAGTAACTCTCATAATAACAGAATAATAATCTTCTTCCTACTTTTAATAACTCCTCTTCTAAGAAGACAAATGACTGAAAATTATGAGTCATCAGGGTAATCTGCTCAGCTATTATACCAAGCTGCCAACATCAGAAAATATTCTAGCAACAATCAGTGATTTATATCAAATTTGGTGCAGTTAAATATCCAATATTAAATGTGCAATATTCTTCACCAAAATATCAAATCTAGATTTATAATTCTCAGTGATGTTCAGTGTTCTCAAAATTAAGATATTTTAGATTTTTTTGTTGTTACTAAATCTGGGGGTTCAGCAGTAACGCAATATAAATTATTATTATCTAGAACAGTGGTTCCCAAAGTGGGTGGTACCGCCCCCTGTGGATGGTGGGATGCCTTAGGGGGGCGCTAAGAGGCAAGGGGGGTGGCAGGGGGGCACTAAGGTGGCAGGGGAAGAAGACAGTTCTCAGTGTCTTCTTTATTATTTTACATCACACAATGGCATCCAGTGTCTTAATAAGTTGCCACAATTACTGTTTGAGAGAGCTTTTGAATGGAGCATAAATGGACCACCTTTGTGTGCCTCTGTAGTTCTTGACATTTGGGGAAGAGTGCAGGCAAGGATGCAAAATGGATTGAATCAGGCTTTGTTTATTGTTAATTTATTTTGAAAAGCACACACTATAGTGTTTGTCTGTTTTCCACCACACAAAATGGCAAAAATTAGGCCTCTAATTTTCAGCTGCTGTTGGACGGGACTTACAAAAACTACAAAAAAATGATATGTTAGCTCTTTTATTATTTATTTGTACATGTAACTATTTTTTTTATTTTTCATTAAAATAATTGTGCCATGGGCTATACATACAGTATACAGTATCACACGATTTTATGGGTAAGCATTATATTAGAGTTAGGCAATCTCTCCGGGACAAGATATATATATATATATATTCTTAAGTTTTCGCGGGTACTTTCATATATGTTATTCAGCTGTGAGTTTTACAACTGTAAAAGTCTGACTCACAGACGAACACAATACAGAAGCCTGATGATGGCAGATGAGATTCTGCCAAAACGTTGCTACAGCTTTAAAAGCACAACTATAATGACATGGGAAAATACCCGAACAAAGCTGAATACGATACATATATATATGAAAATATATATTTATTTCATGTTACTGTAGATATGTTTTGGTTTTTAAAATGGTCTTATTAAAACTTTCCTTCTCAAATTTTAGTATTGAATAAAAATAGATGAACAGAAGAATAGTTAAACCAGTAAGAACTAAGCAAAGCTGATCAAATTTAGCTTCCATTGGAAAAGCTTTAGGAAATTAATAAATAATGAGGTATTCCTGCCTAGTGTTCTGCATTAGCTAGGACATTCCCACTATGCTGTATACAAATTTATAGGCAATATCAATATTAAATCTGTTTACTTTCAGAACATGTTTCAAGGAAGATGTGGCTGAAAAGTGGATATTCAGTGGAAATAAGAGTGATCAGTATACTGCCTGCAATTGCACACTCAGTGGAGAGGTAAATTCAAATTAGAATCTCATGCCATAAGGTCACTATAAGATAGAAATAAAAAAAAGACTGGAGGTTCCAATAAAGACTAAATAAGTGGATCTCCCCCCCCCTCAAAAAAACTAAGCCCCAAGTTTAAGAAAAACAGATATCTTTTAACAACTGTATTTATAAAAGCTAATTTCCCAAGTTGCCAATTTGACAGTATTTTTATTTAATAATACTACTTAACAATATGAATGGTATAGTAATTTATGGTTATAACTTGCTTCCAGTAGAATTTTCCTTCACTTTCTCAAACATGAAAACTACAATGCCAGTCTTGGAGGCAAAACTAAATATGATGTTAATTATTATTATCTAGCACTGATGATGTTACCTAGTTGGGTAATGAAATATTTGTAAGAAAACAAGTTCAGAGAAGCAAATTATCAGTTCTTCCTTTCTACAATTTTTCCTTGAGCTACAGAGGAACAAATGAATAAAAGAACAAGCTGTTCTGGTTTTTTTTATTACTGAAGCATCACAACAATAGAACTATAAGGGAAAAAATGATAACCAAGAAGAGTCTGTTTTAATGTTAGAGGAGAATGGGGGTGACTAGGACAGGGACTAGGAAGGAGGAAACAATCCATAAAATGGGGGTCGCCAACCTTTTGGACCTTGGGGATCACCAAACTCATAATTTTAATCACACGGACCACTAATATGAATTTTGACTGACGGTGGCTTGCTGATGTTGAAAATACGTGCCACCGTAGGTTGGCACGTGTAATGTGCAAATTTGCAGGTGGTACAACATGCAAAAAGCAGCGCAGCCCTTGCCAGCCAGGATGAGGTAATGGTGCTGTTGCGGCAAGAGGGGGGCGGGTGGCACAGGTGGGCCGAAGTGATGGAGATGGCTGGAAGGTGTGGGAGTGCCACACTACTTGCATTTGTGCAGCATCAGCATTCTGCCTTCGCTCAAGGAGCCCAGCCTAGGAGCAAGGGTGAAAAGGTGGGCCCAACTGCAGAGCCCTGGAGAGCCTCAGAGCGAACCAGTTCTCTGCCAGTTGATCTTCGGCACTACTGGTACACCAGAACAGGCCCAAACCGGTAGAATACCATTATACTAGTTATAATGAGAGAGAGTGAGCATCCAGCATTAGCATTTGGCCACTAGCAGCCCTACTGCCTTGTCCCCTTCTCCTGACCTCTCCTGGTGGTCTGCCATCCTTTCAATGATAGGATTGGTTACAAAGCCAGGTCACCTCATAAGAAGATGAAGTGGGCCTCCCTCTGACCTACATGCTTTGCCCTCCTGCACACAACATGAACAATCTGGCCAAGGAGAGCGAAAGCAGCAGTGGGAGCTGGCCATGCTCTCCACGGCCACACCTATCACAGCCATGCCCACCACAGCCCCCCCCCCCAAGTCAACCACAATCCTGATGTGGCCCTCAATGAAATTGAGTTTTACACCCCTGCCCTACAGTATAGAAAGTATATCTGCCCAGCTGAAAATTAGTTTGTATACATGGTTTTATTTTTTTATTAAATTCTAATTTAAAAACTTTTCCCTTGTTTCATTTGCGTCAAGTTTTATTTGCTAAAATAATATTGTATAGGGACACTAAATAATATTTTATATTAATATTGTTTGTCAAAATAAATAATTTTAGTTGTAAAAATCTTTCATGTTCATAAATTTATTTTCTTTGTAGACTTGTCCAAAGCTGAACTTTTCACCCCCTCACAAGAGAACATTCTCTTCCCGAACAATATATAACCTTACTGGACATGATGTAGAAACTTATCTTCTAGTTACTGCCAGAGATTTTGTTCAAAAGAGGTATTCCATTTATCTTATTGCTGTCCCTTGCTTGCTCTATTTAACTTTAACAGAAAGCCTCTACTGAAAGTGTTATTGCCAAAGCAGCATTGTACCATTGATATGTAAATCTTGATAGACACACACATACACACCCACATACACAATGTCATGATGACTCTATAGAAGGGCAGAACTTGTGTTGCAACAATGTAACACTAATTTCATTGTGGTCCCATTGAGATCACCACCACCTCTCCTGATGCCTCTGGTTATCACCATCTCTCTGGTACCAGTTCAGGGAGAGGATGGGATAGCAGGCGCTACATATGGTGGGACTTTTTCATAATTTCTTAGTCACCAATTCACTGAAAAAAGGGGATTTAGATTGTTTAGATTATGTTTGTGGCTATAATCTTTAATTTTGATTTTAAAAAGTCAGGAGGCACCACTAACAAATTATGATTCTAAAATTATTTTGCTTTTCTTCTTTTTTTAAATTTTAGTCCATAAATCTTGAAAGATGATAATGAAAACATACATTAATTTTAATTAAACTCTTGAGATTATACAGTTCCTGGTAGCTCTTTCAGTATGTGGAAAAGAACATGTTGGTACACCTTATTTTCATAGGACCTGGGAATTGCCTGGTTTTGTTATTTTTATTTGAATCCTGAGTCTGCAGCTCTCTTGTCAGCTTCTTCGTCTTCTCTTCTCTGTATAAGAAGTCCTTAAGGGGCGTATTAGGAGCATGGTGACTCACATGGTTAGGATGCTGGGTTGGAGTTTAGCAAGCCTATGTTTGAGACCCAAGTGCTGCTGTGCAGTGGGATGGGCTCCCATCACTCACCTCAGCCTCCTTGACAGGATATGAAAGAAGCCCTTTGGGCATCCACCGGGCACCGATGATATCATGGGCTAATCCTTTCAACCCAGAAGTGCCTCCAACATGAATAGGATGGGGATGAGATGTATGAGATTAGCATACCCATATGGTCCAAGAACATAGAAAACTTGCTTAAAGAAAGAAAACTTGATGGTGCCATCAATCATTGCCCAAATACGTCAAGCTGTCAGAAATGATGTACACTTCAGAATGTTACTAAATATTTTAAATGAAAAGGGTGAGCTCAAAACCAAACAATAATTAAATGAACAAGGATTAGAGAGATATAGAATGGTACTCATATATACAGATACAAACAAGATATGAGAAAGATATGAAAGATGAAGGGATTGGAAAGGAGTTGACAGAATTGGATAAAATATTAACAGGAGCAGAGGACAAATTGATTAAAAGATTATATAGTTATTTGTTGGGTGTCAAGCTGGAAGAAGAACAAGCTAAAGAAATGATGATTGCATGGGCAAAAAACTTTGGACATCTTAGAGAACTGGATAAATGGCAGAAATTATGGGATAGGAATTATAAATTGACAATATCGACATGTATAAGGAGAATTTGTATAAGATGTTTTAGAGATGGCACTTGTGCCAGAAAGACTAGCGAAAATGTTTAAAGATAAATCAATGAAATGTTGGAAATGTCATCAAACACCAGGAACATATTACCATATGTGGTGGGCTTGCACAGAGGCTAAACGATATTGGACTAAAATACACACATGGTTGGAAAAAATGATTAAACAACGTATAGATTTGAAACCTGAAATATTCCTATTAGGAATGGTACCAGAAGGCTATAGTAAAGAAAAGATTTATTTATTTAATTATACATGTTTTAACAGTGGCTACAATTGTATTTGCCCAAAATTGGAAGAGTGACAAAAAGGAAAGTAATTGAAAAAACATTTGAATGTGCATAAATGGATTGACACTAAAAATTAAAGAAAAAGAAGAAACTGAATATTACTTGGTATAGAATCTGTTCTATCAATGGATAGAGAACAAAACAAATTAAAAGAGATTTGATATATTTAGAGTGTAATTACAGAAATTAATATAATAGACACATGCGATACTATTATATATTTGGGAATGTGATTATTGTTGTATTGTTAGATTTGATAAGAAAAACATCATTTATAATGGTCAAATAATTGAAATATGTATCTAACTGACACACGAGTGAAATGGAATGGATTTGCTGTATATAAAAAACAATTTTTTTTAAAAAAAGAAGAAGTGATGTACACTTTATGTTTTATATAACTTCCATGGAATTTAAGATATAATTTCCATGTGAAATTTAAGATGTTTAAAACATGAAAACTTTATTTCTAATATGGTTTTCCCCCCTCCCACATCTAGATATGGTGGATGGAGTTTTGGGCTGCCCTTGCCTAGTAATCTCCGATTTGATATAAACCCTGTACCTGCTAACAGAACAGTAACTAAGGTAAACTATGGGCATTTAGTTGTCATGAAACAGAGCAAACCAATAAGTGATTTCTTAAATTTTATATATATATATATATATATATATATATTCTTAAGTTTTCGCGGGTACTTACATGTATGGTATTCAGCTTTGTTCGGGTATTTTCCCATGTCATTGTAGTTGTACTTTTAAAGTTGTAGCAATGTTTCGGCGGAATCTCATCTGCCATCATCAGGCTTCACAGATGAACACAGTACAGAAGCCTGTATCATCAGGCTTGTGTATTGTGTTTGTCTGTGAGTCAGGCTTTCACAGCCATCTCTGTTTTAAATTTGGTGCTAGCCTGTAAAAGTCTGACTCACAGACGAACACAATACACAAGCCTGATGATGGCAGGTGAGATTCTGCTGAAACGTTGCTACAACTTTAAAAGCACAACTATAATGACGTGGGAAAATACCTGAACAAAGCTGAATACCATACATACATACATGCATGCATACATACATACATACATACATACATACATACGTTGTGGCTCCAAATCCTGAGTCTGCATTCTTAGAGGAAGAGGATTTGGAAGATGAGGAGGAGGTAGAATTGAGAATGCCTTCCTCCCCAGGACCTTCCTCTTCGGCAATGCCTCAGGTTTCGGCAGATAACCGAGAGGGACAGCCTGAGGCTAATCAGGAAGAGGAGGAGGGCATATCAGAGCAGCCTTTGACAGAGAATCGAGTAGATAAATGCTGGCTTGATGCTAGGCAGCGTCGCAGGAAAAAGTGTGAATTTTTCTGTAGAGCTTCGGTGTATCCTGTTTCTTGAAAGCCTAGTGATTAATGTTTCTGTTATCTTGTTGGACTTGGCAGTCAGCGTGTGTGATACTGCCAAGAACATAGCAAGCTCAAAGGAATTAACTCAGTAAATACCGAATCTTCTTGCCTGCTTGTATTTGGTCAGAGTTTTGGACTTCTCATCTATCTTGTGAAGGTGAGACATATTTTTCCATGTCATTGTAGTTGTGCTTTTAAAGTTGTAGCAACATTTCGGCAGAATCTCATCTGCTATCATCAGGCTTCTGTATTGTGTTCATCTTTTAGTGCGGCTTGGCATCGAGTAAACGGACGGCTATCATTTATTAGGAAGCTAGGTTTCATCTGGGTGCCTGGTTGGGGTGTGTTTAAGCTGGAGGTTTGGGGGTGGGGGTCTGTAGCTTCCTAATAAACGATAGCCGTCCGTTTACCCCAAGCCAAGCTGCACTAAAAGCCCCCAATACAGGAAAGACAATGTTGCCAGCCAATCAAGACAAAAAAAAGCTACAAAACAGACAGAAGATATTAGAAACACCAATCAAGCAGAACACAGCAAATTCCAAGACCAATAAACACAGACCAAGACTCCTAACCAATCAGCATGAAGAAAAAACCATTCTGGCACAGCAGTAGGCTAGCATCAAACAGAAACGGCCGTGAAAACCTGACTCACAGACAAACACCTAATGATGGCAGATGAGATTCTGCCAAAACGTTACCACAACTTTAAAAGCACAACTATAATGATGTGGGAAAATACCCGAACAAAGCTGAATACCATACATATAAATACCCGTGAAATATCTTGTTAAATTTCACTATTTAATTACATTAAAAACTAGGGTCTTATTGCAGATTTTTCAAGTAAGTCAGTATTATTATTTAAGTGTTAGAGACAGAAAAATTGAGACTTGGAGAAATGGGCTCTATTAAGGCAACTTGTCAAGTTCTTGAAAAGCATGAGATGGAAACAACTTCATATTTATAACTCAGATTCACAATAACTATATTTTATCAGCTCTGCTGTAATTTTGTATTAATAGGTTATATTTTACATCTGTATAGCTTATGCGTAAAATGTTCCCCTTAACTCTGTGGTCAAGGAAATAACTGTCCGTATTAGGAGGGACCATTCTAGCAGATGTGTCAGCTGCAGATCTGTTTTTTTTTTCTATAGCATTGTTCTAATAATTTTCAAGGAACATGCTGCTGTATCAGGAATATCTAATGTGGGGTCCTATCAGCATTTATTTAGTAAAGGAACTTTTGTTTTTCAGTTCCTAATGTGCTGAGAAAGCCTGTCAAGGCTGGAAAATTCATCTGACAGTAATTGCTTCTAGTGGAACTGGACATTGACTCTTATCTGAGCTTTCTCAGCAGAGTTATTTTTAAATGTATTTTCTTTCCTCAGATACCGTGGATAAAAGCTCTAGTTCTACTAAAACTGGAGTGGCACTTTGAGGACTTGCTTTCTTGCTTCTTTGAGTTTTGAGAAAAACTATGTTTCGATTTTGCAATTTTTTTTTTGGCCAATATAAATTTTATTTTGCTTCTACAAAAACAAATAGATCCTAACATTGGAACTGTAGGTTGGAACTATTATCACACAACTTATGAACTTAACTAACTGAACTTAGAAAAGTCACTGCTCTCTTTAGTTCTCCAAGGATTCACAACAGTGATGGCATTTAAAAATTTTTACTACCGTTTCTGTGGGCCTGGCTTGGTGAGCGTGGCAGGGGAAGGATACTGTAAAATCTCCAGTCAGAAGTGGTATTTGCCAGTTCTCCAAACTATTCAAAGTTTCTGCTACCTGTTCTCCAGAACTGGTCAGAACCTGCTGAATACCACCGCTGATTCACAATCTAGAGGCCTGCAGATTTTCAAAATCCCCTTTGACATGAATAAACAAACAAACAGATACTTTACTTTAATATTCTTAATGTTGTTTTCTGAAATGGGCCTGCAGGTATATTTTGTCTCATTGTTCTCTTGAGTTCTAAGCTTCACTGGTTACAAATTTATTCACAAAATTACAAATACATACAAATTGCCTGTTATTTTTGTGTCTGAAATTTAAATATAGGTCTGGTATAATCCAGAAGGATATCATAGCCTCCCAGTTTACCTTAACAGCTTGAATAACTTCATTCTCCATGCTTACTTACCACATGGAAACACCTCTGGATATGGTAGGTATCCACTTGCCACATAGTTTTCTATTTCAAGATGAAAGCTTTTGTTTCCCCACCTATCTTTAAATACACTGTGACATCTGAAGTATTATGTTACTGTTCATCCCTTCTAAAATTGAACCTGCAAAATTGCAGAATAAACTCTTGATTGTGGGCAGAGTTAGATGCAATTCTGCATTCTAACCACTATGCCACCACGGCTCCTCAATCAAACAAAATGAATACTAATGAATACTAATTCTTAACATGGCACCAATGTAATATAGTATCATTCTTGAAGGCCTTTACTATTGAACCAACTAATAAAGAAAAGGGGCAATGGTAGCTAGAAGCTCAGTAGCCATAAATAGAATATAAAAAATAGAACAATGTCCAAATATTATTTTTACTATTTTTGATTAATTTCATTCATTTTCAAACTTCCATTTTTGAATGCAATGAACGATGTCAGTATCTGCCATACTGCTCTATTGTTGGATTCTAATTAAATCTGAGTAATGTAGTAAATGATCTTGGGTAATTTTCCAGATTTTTTCCAGGTAAAATCTATTTTACTGATAGTAGGTTTTATGTAACATTTTGTATCAAAAATGGATTTTTAAAATGTTTGATAAGCTTCCCTAGATGGTATTTTAGCCTCAGCAGGGATAATTTTGACTGGAAGTAAAAGATAGGTTTGTGAAAAACCATTTAGGCATTTTGAATAACTAATTATAAAAAGTCCTAAACTGAAAAATGCAATTATTGCTTTTCTATGTCTTTTTCACTTGTTTTTAATCTTCCAACAATTGCAATGAGATATAAGGCAAGATGAGGTTGGTAACTGCCCAGTATGCTTTATCACTAAATTGTGAAATCAGATGTCTTAACATCTTTAACACCTAATACATATATGTATGTGTGTATGTGTGTATGTATGTATATGTATATGTATATATATATATATATATATATATATATATACACACATACACATATATACATATACATATACATACATACACACATACACACACACACATATATGCATATGCATATGCATATTCATATACATACATACATACATACATACATACATATATGTTTTCTTATGTTTTCGCGGGTATTTACATGTATGGCATTCAGCTTTGTTCGGGTACTTTCCCACGTCATTGTAGTTGTGCTTTTAAAGTTGTAGCAATGTTTCGGCAGAATCTCATCTGCCATCATCAGGCTTCTGTATAGTGTTCGTCTATGAGAGTCTGTATAGTGTTCGTCTGTGAAAGTCTGACTTACAGATGAACACAGTACAGAAGCCTGATGATGGCAGATGTGATTCTGCCAAAACGTTGCTACAACTTTAAAAGCACAACTATAATGACGTGGGAAAATACCTGAACAAAGCTGAATACCATATATATATTAAGAAAACAAATATATATGTATGTGTATGTGTATGTGTATGTGTGTGTGTGTGTGTGTGTGTGTGTGTGTGTATGTGTGTATATATATATATATTTCTTAAGTTTTCGCGGGTACTTACATGTATGGCATTCAGCTTTGTTCGGGTATTTTCCCACGTCATTATAGTTGTGCTTTTAAAGTTGTAGCAACGTCTCATCTGCCATCATCAGGCTTCTGTGTTGTGTTCATCTGTGAGAAGCCTGATGATGGCAGATGAGATTCTGCCGAAACGTTGCTACAACTTTAAAAGCACAACTACAATGACGTGGGAAAATACCCAAACAAAGCTGAATGATATATATATATATATATATATGCGCTCTTATTTTTTCGTGGGTATTTATATGTATGGTATTTAGGTTTCTTCAGGTATTTTCCCACGTCTTAATATTTCTGCTTTTATTTTAGCGACATTTTGGCTGAATCTTATCTGCCATCCTCAGGCTTGTGTTTTGAGGATGGCAGATGAGATTCTGCCAAAACATTGCTATAATAAAAGCACAAATATTAAAACAATTTGCACCCCAGAGAGATGCTTACATTGCTTCCATTTTAACTCTACTGCTCTCTGGATTTTTACTTCTTCCTGAGCTTTTATATATTTGATCTTACTGTAACTCTAACATTCCACCAGAATTTGCCTTTCTGTAACTTCAGTCCATCATGCTCCACACTCTAGAATGAGAGAGGACAGGTCTTCTTCCAATTGTTTGCCACTCTCTAGGTCAGGGGTATCAAGCTCAAGGCCCGCGGAACAGATCCAGTCTGTGAGGTGGTTAGATCCAGTGGTGGGATTCAAGTATTGTTGCCACCAGTTTGGTGGGCATGGCTTTGTGGGCGTGCTTTGCGTGCACGTGCACACCACATACTCACTTTGCACAGATGCAGAGGCATTTGCGCAGGCGCAGAGGCATTCTAACTCACCTCCTGCAAGCCTATACCTATACCATTGCAGATAAATGATTGTCCAATTTCTTCTTAAAACCCCGCAGTGATGAAGCATTCACAACATCTGGAGGCATTTATCTGACAAATTAATAAATATGTTTAATACTGCATTTACCTATGCCTTTGGAAGTTCAGACTGATTTATGTAAAATTGCCAGTGAATTTTCATTAGGCAGAGATAAAATTCAGAAATAGTTTGCACATAATTGTGGCATTATGAGTATATGCTTAGATGGAGATGTACTTTTCCACTGTAACTGATATTTGGAGGAATGCTGCTCCACCACTCAGGTTAATGAGATGGAAATCAATAGTTCTCAAGCTACACCAAGTCACTACATAAACATAAAACAGGCGTCTTCAGCTCTCAAAACTGAGAAAAGAATGTCCTTTGACTCAAAAGGGTTGGAGAAACATTTTGCATGGATTAATTATACAATATATGAATAACTTTCCTTATTCTGTTCTAAATCTTTCTCTAATTAACTGAATTGGATAACCCTGATCATTCGATACTTGGGAAAAAAAACATTCCCCTCCGCTCTTTCACAACCAAGATGATTTTATACATCTTGATTCCATTCATTTGTTTTTTTTTCTAAACCAGATTCTCAAATATTCTTTCTCTCAGCATTTGATCATTTTAGTTGTATTTTACCTTAATTAATGGCAGAAATATAAAACTGTTAAATCTTTCAGTTGTTGATCTAGCACCTATATTCAATAATGAAATAAATCCCTAAATGTGTTTCATTATTATTGCAGGCATTTCTGTTGTTGCTCATCCTTATCCTGGTGGAGAGAGTCAGGAGCAAGCTATGTAAGACATTAATTTTATCAATTTTCTCCTTAATATAATTGTAAGAAAAACAGTCTGATCTTTTTTTCAATACAGTTATTTTGAAATATAATCTAGATCGGGGTGTCCAACTTGCAGCCATACCTAGGCCCAGTTTAGCGAAGGGGGAAAAAGTTGCAATATGTCACATGACACTCCTGTTATGACACGAGTTTGATGCTCCTGATCTAGATTATATTATATGCATGTCAGTCATTGTGAATAGGGACTGATTATGTTTTATACAGTATGTTTTGAATTTATCATAAATATTATCCCAAATAGTAGAACAAGAAATTACATAGCTTTGGAGAACATGTATATATTTAAATATTTATAAAGTTCTGTAATTTTATTATCTATCCATTATATCTATTATCTATTCATTAAAATCAAGATAAACAATTCAACAAAAAGTAAGTAAAATGACTTGATTAAAAATAGAGTAGAAACTGAGTTATTACAAGCAGTTTGTTAACCGGACTTTAGTTAGTAGCCTCTAGGGAATGAAAGCCCATTTCCATGTATAAGCAACTTTATTTTACACTGAGCACACAGTGGCTCATGTGGTTAGGATGCTGAATCAGAAGACCATTGAGAGGTCAGTCCTGAGTTAGAAGACCATTGAGAGGTCGACAACTCGGCAGTTCAAAACCCAATGAGCTGCATGACAGAGTGAGCTCCCATCATTTTGTCTTAACTCCTGTCCACCTAGCAGTTTGAAAGTATGCAAATGCAAGTAGATAAATAGGTACCATTCAGTAAGCCAATAATAGGGACACATCAAGAGCCCTTGTAGGTGTCCCCTGGGCAACAGTGATGTCACCGGCTAATCCTTTCAATCTGGAAGCATCTTGGTAGGTGCTTTCCACATGAATGTAGCAGCAGCCATCCACAAACACTGAATTAGCAATAATGAAATCTCAGCTGGAAACCTGTATATCAGGCAACTCATTTTTTTAAATTGCTCTACATATCTATGAATGAGCATGAGGACTGACTTTGTGGTTACAAATACACTTGAAAATTCACAAGGTAAATTCACAAATCTAGAATCCACAAACAATGAGAATTGATGGAATATTGTTAAAAGACACCCTATCAGCAGACCTTAGTATTTGGGTGGGCAGAGGTATATCAAGAGGGATACCCAAGAGATATGTGCCCTCAAATAATCTGTCTCCAACTATGTAAATGTTTAAACCTCATCACTACTAATGATTATATATATATATATAAAACAAGTGTATTTCTAGCCTTTGTATATAATATTTTTTCTAAGTAATGTTTGGGTAGGAATCTAGCTGCTATATTCAGCTCTAGCAATAACCTTCATAGCCCAAACAGGAATAAAACTGAACCAGAATTCTCATTGTTCTTCTCTTTGGTACTTTAAAAGCACCAGACTTTCTCACAGAAGTGGGGTGGGGTGGGGAATAGATTGATCGGATCGTCTTTTCTTCGCCTTTTGTCTGGAGTGTGAGTAGTAAAGGAAATTTGTTATTCTAATATCTTATTCTCCACATTCACAGCTTTACATCTGCACTTTTAGAGCAATAGCTTAGTGTTTGGGGTTGGGTTTGTTCTTTCTTTTTTTTGCAGATAGGCACACACTAGCATAAATAGGAGAGGGATAGCAAATGATTTATTTCCTTTTGCAATGAATGGAGGAACAAGAAGATTTTAGTTTCTTTAGGACCTGTGGCACTTGGGGGTAAAGATTTTTAATACCCATTTACTGGTCAACTAGAGAAAGCACTGATGAAAGCACCCTTTCCCTGCATTTCAAAGTTTCAGGGAGGGGAAAGGACACAGCTGCCATCAAAATTTGTTGGAAGGACTAGGAGTGGAAGTAGTACCATGTATAAAAACCCTTGTTTGCCTAGCTTTCCAATTTATTTCTGGGCTGTAGCCTTTCAGGTTGCAGGTTCTCCAAAGAGAACACTTCTCTGAGATATTTAGGAATGTGGAAGGAATGTTTTGGCACCAAATCATATGACATTAATTATTTCAGACTTACTAATCTTAGAAGTTGTCATATTTAGTTATAATTGTTCTAACATATTCATTGATCGTGAATTATTTTTGACAGCAATTGCCAGTTCAGTTATGAAAAAAGATTATGGAATAAAAATAAATGTTTATATTTTATTATTTTACATCTTTGAAATAAAACATATCTGCATGCTGTTCATTATCATCTGGGGCTCATGGTCAATGCTTAACTTCCTTCCTTTTTTATTTCCTGATCAACTTTCTTAGACACTTACCTCAGACGATTTTGAATTTCTTACAATGCTTCCAACTTAACTTTACTCTGGACAATGCAAAAAATTAAGCCAATCCTCCAGAGAACTCCAGCAAAAGTCAGGCCCATTGGAAGATTCTTTGTGGTGTCAAACTCAAGGGCCAGGGGCCAGATCCAGCCTGTAGGGTGCTTAGATCTGGCCTGCTGGGCTGCCCTGGAAACAGCAAAGAACCGGCCCACAGTGCCTCTGCTGGTGAAAATGGAGTTCTGTTTTCTCTGGCAGAGGGTTGAAGAAGCCACTGCAGCCAAAAACAGAGCTCAGGAGCTTGCTTTCACTGGCAGAGTGCTCAGGCCACCACAGGTGCCCCCAACACAAGTGATGTCATGCTGGCCATGCCCACACTGGCTCCCTGAGGTCAAACACAATCTTGATGCAGCCCTCAATGAAATCAAGTTTGACACCCCTGGTATAAAACATCCTAAAAGCTGGAGCTGGCTATGGCTGGCCTATTCATCTTTTAAAATGTTTTCATTACATTTTCATCTCCTCAGGCTTAGTAGTTTACTGGATATCATCGTGTCCATGTCAGTCTTGATTGGATACTCCATCACAACAGCTAGTTTTGTGCTTTACGTGGTCAAGGAACATCAAACAAAGGCAAAACAGCTACAACATATCTCTGGCCTCGGTGTGACCAGCTACTGGGTGACTAACTTCATTTATGACATGGTGAGTAGCTTATCTCTTAAATATAATATGGAAAATACCACATGATGAAATGAAGCAAAAAAAAAAGACCTATTAAAAATGCAGGATTCACTTACTCATAAAACTCCATGCTATATTCAGTTTTTAAAATCTTAAAACATAGAATTAAGCTGTTGCACCATGCTTAATAATACATGGACCCCATCCTCTTTTTGCTGTTGCTGCCACACTATATGTATAAAACTCAGAACTTTATAATAGCCCAATCTACTACTAAGATCAGAAGTTCATTTATATTTAACTAGAAATTAATAAAGTTGTTCTCAGGTTAAATTATGAAAAATATGGCAAAAAGGGAGAGTTAATTGGCATCCCCTAATAGATCTTTTATTTGGAACTCTGAGTTACCTATTATTATATGAACATTTAATTTTGATGTCTTAATTACTATTGTTAAAAATAGTGTAATTTGATGTGATATTAGAAGCTAGCTAATCTTCTTTATCCTCCAAACCAAAATTCGTCTTACTGATCCTATAAAAATGGTTTTCCTTTCTTCAGAGGAAAATAACTTTTCTCTTTTTTACAAGAGATGGAAAAATAACTGGTAGGAAGCTTTTGTTATGAACTTAGTCATGGAGAAAAAAAAAATCACTGCTTGTTTTCAGATCACCTTATAGGCCTTTTTGTATATTAGTTTAAAAACAATAAAATCTTTGGAGCATATTTCATGTTTATGTATAGTTTATCCTCAAATTTTGAATACAGCAGTACTCAGTGATTCTGATAAAAAATAAAATATCTTTTAACATGAATATTATCAAGAAGCAAGTACTGAAATATGCAAAGTTGGCACTAGGCAAAGCATAGTCCTGAGATCTCAGGGTAGCATTTATATATTGTCAGAAGAATAATTTGGAGTTCCAATTTGAGGTAGGGTTGCACAAGAATAAATAAAAATGAGATCCAGACAGCTGTGAGGAAAAAAGATACTTAAAGCAAAACAGTTTGCCTTTAAGGTCAAGCAGCAGAGAAGTAGGATACAGGTTTTTATAAGGGGAACTTGTATGGTGTGTCACATGCTGATTCTAGGATGACACTTGAGGGGTGTGTGTGTGTGTGTGTAGTGTATTTATTCTTGTGAACATGCAATTGCTCTGGGAGACCTAATTTAATTACCGTATTTATCGGCGTATAACACGCACAGGCGTATAACACGCATTCCCTTTAAGAGGGAAATTTCAGGAAAAAAATATGCGGCGGGCGCAGCGCTGACATCACGTCACGACGCTGCGCCGCCGCTAGGCACTATTGGGAACGGGATCCCTTAAAGAGGATTCCGCTCCCTGGACATCGGCGTATAACACGCATACATCATTTGCCCCCTATTTTCAGGGGGAAAAAGTGCGTGTTATACGCCGATAAATACGGTAACTCTGTGTTTGCAGACATCCTCGATAAGCGGATTGGGTCTGGGAGGAAGTTTGCTAATTTTAGTTGATTAACTTAGTTTCATCTTGACTATCAATTATCAAGTGGAGACACTGATTCTCAGACTATTGTGGATTCTGTTAATATTTTAAGGGAAGATGGAAACAATATAAATAATAAAATGTATTTGGATAAAAAACTTTTCACAATATATTGTATGCTTTTTGTCTATTTCATATATCATAATAACATAGGTAGTTTGGAATCATGCATGAGAAATATGGCTTTTGACACAGCACTACAAACTATGGCTAAGAACATGTGAACTTGGCCATTTTGTTGTTTAAAAACATGACCACCTACTTCCAAATTATTGAATAAATATGGAATATTTTCTCATGGGAATTGTCATAAAACATTCCTAAGAGGCCTGTATAGTTCAGATAGGTTGCATAGAGATACTTAGAGCCAAGCACAATTTTCTGAATTTAAACTCATTATAATAAGTAGGTATGCCTCTTTCATGTTTTGGCCCCTTGGTTTGAAATGGCAGATTTATGCATTTTCTGTTGGATAGCATCCCATATGAGCTAACCGAAGCCAGCATTTAAGAGACTGAAACTGATGTTAGTGATATGCTGTTACTTGATACCTTTCCCCGAATTCTTGCTACTAAAAAATCCTCTTACTAGGAGAGGAACTGGAAAATCTTGTGAATCCTGCTAATTAGAAACTAGAATAGGAACTATATGTAATAATACCTGTCATCATTGTGAGTAATGAACTCAGAGAAGTCACGATTCTGACACTTCGTTCAGATTCAAGAGATCCTTTATTGAGTACATCATATTGGCACTTAGGAAAGTGAAGCTAGCTCTAAATTATTCCCATGCTTAGGGATAGTTAAAAGAATGAGACCTCCCCATCCCCCTTCTGTCTCTCAGGTCACCTAGGCCAATCAGTCCAGATGTAGGTTCCTGTTCAACTTCAACAGGTGTCCGTTGAATGATCTTGGTTTACACGCTTACTGGTAGATGTTATGGCTATCCGGCTGAGGCACCACATTCCTGAGTTCTCCCCTCCCAATGGTCTCCCCACCTGGCAACCAAGAAACAAAGCAGAAATAAGTATGGCTTCAGCTGAAGTTGTTTTGCAGGTTGACAATACCAATATGCATGCTGCCCTTCATAATTGGTATATGCCCAAAATAAAGGAAAATGATGTGCATGAATCTCAAGGGTTAATGTGTCCCAAATATTAGGTTTTCCTAACCTAATTAAAATTTAAAGCTACTAACCTAGGCACACCTAAGAGGCAGTTTATTTCAGGAAATCAGATTCCTAGAATTGGGGGAAAATGGTTGTAAAACACGTCACACAGAAAATTTAGCCTTTCTGTAAGTACCACAGTGCCATCATTTTTAAATGTAAACTTAATTGTTTATAATAATCTTCTCACACACCTTTTCTCTCTTCCCATTATTGCTACCATTTCACACCTAACTGACTTTATAAAATGATATCCAGCTCTACAATTTAAAATGTATTTTATATTATTGTACATTTTCCTAGACTGGACGTGTAAAAATAATTAATAACAAAATAATTATTATGGAAATGCTGACACATCAATAATGTATGAATAATTAAAAAAACACTTGAGAAGGGACCATGGTTTATGTTAATACATTTTTCTTTCTGGTTGGCAGATTTTTATACTATTTCAAAATAAATTCAACTAGAAGACCCAAATAGCCTTCAACTTTCTGAAATACATTACTTCTTTCAAATCACTTTGAGCTATGTTAGAAATATTGTTTGTCTCCAGATTAAAGCTTTCTATAGCCATTACTTTCTAGGACCTCTGTAAATAATGCTTGCTTCCTTTGTTGCTAACTTTTCCATAGTTAGAAGAAAATCCAGTTGTTTCAATCCAAATCAATCCAATGAAGTAGTAATTCAATTGCATGATAATGACTGAGCAAATAATGGGGAGTGGTAATTATTCTTAAAGTAAAAAATTGATGTTTCTGTATTTATATCCTATGAAGGGAAGTTTTTTTCTCATGCATTTAAAGCCACATTCGGTCCATATGTTTTATATATATGATACTATAATAAACAGGCTTAGCATTTGGTCTGTGATAATCAGTTGTATTTATGAACATTCTACAGGTTTATTTTCTGGTGCCTGTTATACTCTCAGTGGGCGTTATTTCAGCGTTTCAGATACCAGCTTTCTTCAATGACAATAACCTGTTGGCTGTATTCCTGCTTCTTTTTTTATTTGGGTAAGGATTTGTATAGTTTGATTCATTTTGAATTGAATCTCCAATTCTAGTTTTGAAGAGAGCTATTTGAATTACTTATTTTTAACAGTAATTTTAAAAAATCAGTTTTTTAAAGTAATTAGTCATAAACAAAGCATAAAAGAGGATAAATAAAAATTAATCAACCAACTCTAGAAATAATGTAGGTACATTTAAAAAAAGCCAATCTATCTAATGGGCTTCAAAGATACTTAATGATATAGGATTATGAAAGAACACCAAAAATGGAAAGGCTGTGTTGCAAGAAAAAAAATGATAAAATATGGAAGACTATGAAAAAAATAAATTCAACAAGCTCACCACTAGCTCTTCTTTAAATGCTTCTCATGTCAGAAATAACTATATAGGAAAAGTATGATTACATATGCCATTGATGGCTAAATTTTTCCTCGTTGCGTGCCGAAAGTGTTGCGCATGCACATGTGCCTGCACCCATAAGCAATGTTTGCATGGCCCCCCTGGCCCCCTGTGCATGTGTACGTGACCCCCTGTGAGCACACTGTGCGCCTCTGCACATGCACACACGACCTCCCCATGCTGCGTGCCTCTGCGCATGTGTGTGTGAGCCCCCTGTGAACCCCCCACCCCCTGAACATGCTCATGCATCTCCTGTACGTGCATCTCCCCCTGCACATGCACAGCAGATACCCAACAATCAGCTGGCTGGTGGGGGGGGGGCTCGTGCACATGTGCCGTGGGTCTGTTCCGGGCGACGGCTTGCATGCTAGCAGAAATGGCTCTGCATGCTACTTCCGGCACATGTGCCATAGGTTCGCCATCACGGACATATGCAGATATGATCCATTTACACCCCATAAATAGATTAAAGACACAGCAACAACTTCTTCAAAAGGCCAGAACATACCATGGTTGATGTACCTATGCATTGCTGGAAGAATAAAACTAATCTCAGAAATAATGGAGGGCCTCTAAGAAAAATGTCAGGATTTGAAATGCTTGTACAGAATCAAGATGGCATACTAAGGCAACTGTATACACTGTTGCTCAGATAGAACATGGAGATGGAACAAATAAAAAGTTTCATAATAAAATGGATGCAAAACAAACAAAGAATAAAAAAATTACAAACTATGGACTTAATAGACAAAAGAAAAGACTGGACAGCCAGCTATCTGAAATGATATAGTGCAGGGGTTTCAAACACAATGTGATCGGATCTGGCCCATGGAGCCATCCTGGAAAATGCAAGAGGCCAGCCCACATTGCTTCGGCTTGGTCTACCCAATGCAAAGAGGAAACATTGGAGCAGCATGGCTTTGGCCCAATCTACCCAATGCAAAGAGGAAACATCGGGTCAATGTGGCTTCAGCCTGGTCTACCCATTGCAAAAAGAAAATATGCCAGCAGTTTGGGGAGTGGCATCAATCTGGCCGCGGCCACCCGGTCGGCCATGCCCAGTGAGTGGCATCAAGCTGGCCACACCTACCCAATTGGCCACACCTACACATTCAGCCATGCTCTTCTGGCCCTCTGAGGTCAACCATAGCCCCAATGAAATTGAAATTGAGTTTGACACCCCTTGTATAGTGTCTCTTGCTTGAACAGGGGGTTAGACTAGAAGACCTCCAAGGTCCCTTCCAGCACTATTCTGATTGGTTCAGAATGTATATTACTGGATGGGAGATCACTGAGAAATATAACAGCTGAAAGCTAAACTTGGATGTTGAAAAAAATATGCTGACAATCCTTGTTAATATTGTGATCAAGAAAAGGTATAGGAATACCAAAGAAGTCACAAGTTCAAAGGAAATTATAGAGAGAGTAGCAAATGTTTAGTTTTTGTCTTGAATAAAAAGTATACATTGCCTTGCATGTGTATCTGAGTAGGAAGGAGTAGGAAGGTACAAATAAATGAATAAAATAATATATTATGGTTGTCAGAATTAATGTAGATCCTTGGCAATTAAATTAGCTCCAAAATAAAATAGTTCACAGACAAATTGGACTAGAAGCCAATTAAATACTTTGCTATCTGGATTGCTTGCTTTATTCTGCCTGTGGTTTTTAATGATCTGCAGATATTCAACATTTTCCTGGATGTACTTGCTGGCTGGAATCTTCAAGGAAACTGGGATGGCCTTTATTGTTTATGTCTGCATCAATTTATTCTTTGGTGTCAACACAATCATCTCCCATTCAGTTGTTTTTTTACTTTCCCAAGAAAAAGCTACTGATAAGGTAATAAGCTTGAAAACATGTCACCAACATGTAATCAGATTTTTCATTAATGTTCCAGATTATATAAAATAGCGTAGAATACCAATAGTAATATCCCAGAGGACAGAAATAAAAGTTACTCCTTATTTAGTTTGATAATGATTTGCATGAAAACGGTTTTAGATAAATATATCTTCACATATGAATATGGGAACACCTGGTTTTGCCAGTGGGCCTGGTGAACCCAGAGTGGAATGGAGCCCATCAAATGGGTAGTGTGATCTGCTGTCGTCGGGGTGGGGGGTGGAAGTTGGGGGGTGATTTCTCCCTCCCGCCCAGATTTTGTTCTATTGTACTTTATTAATTTATTTGATTCTTTTTGTTAGTTTTTATTGTTTCTTACTTTTTATTTTTATTTTTTGTTTTAAATATGGTTTTACATTGTGTAAGCCACCTCGAATCGCCATGGATGAATAGGCAGCAATATTAAATTAAATAAATAAATATATATTGCAATGTGATTTGCAATGAAAACAAACTCTATTTGAGGTATATCAAGAAAAATAAAGTTTAAAAATCCAAGGAACCAACAGTTCTATCTTGGTCAGATTCCTTCTTAAGTAATGTCTTTTGTTTCAATCTTTAAGAAACATCAGACTAAATGGAACTGACAGAGATGACCAGGTATACCCTATATGTGACTTGCTAATGATTTACATGAAAAGGATAAATATGAGTCAGCAATATGCTATAACACAATCTGTTATGAAGGTTTTTTTTTTAATGATAAGGTAATTTTGTAACTACAAAAGTACAATGACCAAAGAATTCTTATTTCTTTCAGGCCCTGCATGATCTTGCTGAAACATTGAGACATATTTTCCTGATATTCCCACAATTCTGTTTTGGTTATGGGTTAATCGAATTATCTCAGTATCATGCCCTGATGGGTTTTTTGAAAGCCTATGGAGTAGTTTACCCTGATAAAACATTTGAATTGGACAGGACAACATCCAAACTGCTTGGGATGTTCATTCAAGGAACTCTGTTTTTCACAGTCCGCCTCTTGCTTGATGATGGAACAATTCAGAAAATATGGCATAAAATATTACAGTAAGTAACCATAAATTATGTGGAAATTTTAAAATTGCAAATAAAACAACGAATTGACAAAAAGTAAGTTGCAAAATATAAACTTGCTGTAATTTATTGTTTTAACAGGATTTTATAAAAAGCTTTTTAAATTAAACTGGTTAGGCTTTTTATTAAGTTAAGATTATGTAGTAACAGGAACTGTCAAGTTTATGTTGGCCTATTTTGCAATGAAGGGGCTACAATCTCTCCTTTCTGCATCAAATATATGTGATTAAGGAGTTGCTTTATTACAGTGCTAAAATGCCAGAAATAAGAGAGAAATTCATCACAGCTCTTGATCCACAAAGCAGTTTAAACAAATAGTTGTTGTGTTTTGATTTAATCTCATCTGAGTGCAGATTAGAATAATCCTCATAATATTCATAATAGGCCCTACCAAGTTTCAGCAATAGATGGAAGCATCTGATTTCTCTCACTTGAACTCAGATACTATAAACGGTCAGATTATTAGGATGGGAAATTACAGGGGAATTCCAAGGCTGCAATAAAGTGACTGGCCTAAAATCACCCTGCTGGCTTTCAAGGTTAAGGCAGAACTTGAATTCAGGGTCTCCCGCACCAGATCAAACTGGCTCTCATAATTTTCAAAAGAGAAGCCTGGGTTTCCCACTTAAATCAACAGAATTATTTTGATTGAACTATGTCTATAATTGCAATAGTCTTTTTGTCTTCCATTTGCATGTGTCCAGTTCTTTGAGACTGCTAGGAGAAATCTCTGCAGTTTTCTTGGGAAGATTTTTTTCAGATGTGGTTTGCCCTTGTTTCCTTCCTAGGGCTGAGAGAAAGTAATGCAGAGGTCACCCAACCTCATGCCTAGCGTAGGACTAGAACTCATGGTGTCCTGGTTTCTAGCCTGATACTTTAACTCAGGGCTTTTAAAAACTCGCAGCCGGCAGGCTGGATGTGTTATGTGCTGGTTTAGTGAAAGGGGGAAAAAGTTGCAATATGTCACATGACAGCACTGTGACAATGCAAGTTGTCACTGTGACAATGCAAGTTGTTGATACCCCTGCTTTAACTGCTACACCAAACTGCTTCAGAATTGAGAAACTTCCTGAAATACGTAATAATAAAATCCATAACATTTATGGATGATAAACTTTCTAACAGATAGGAAGCAGCAGGTGAAGCTAGGTAAATCACATCGAATACCTGTTCAATTAGCATAGCTGTCCCCCAGGGCTGTGTGGTCTCTCCGTTACTCTTTTGTCTCTATACCCACGGCTGCATCTCAAAGGATCCGTCTGTTAAAGTACTGAAATTGGTAGATGATACAACAATCATTGGTCTAATTCAAGATGATGATGAATCTTCATAGAGACAGGAGGTTGAACAACTGGCCCTGGGGTGCAGCCAGAACAATTTGTAACTGAACACACTTAAAACTGTAGAAATGATATTAGATTTTAGAAGGAGCTCTCCTATTCTACCACCTCTTCCAATATTAAACAACACAGTATCAACACTAGAGACCTTCAAGTTTCTGGGTTCTATAATCTCCCAGGACTTGAAATGGACACCTGACATTAGAACCGTCATTAAAAAGGCACAACAAAGAATGTTCTTTCTGTGCCAACTCAGAAAGCTCAGATTGCTCAAGGAGCTGCTGACACAATTCTACACAGAAATTATTGAGTCTGTATTTTGTACTTTCTATAGCTGTCTGGTTTGGTACAGCAACTAAACAAGACAGGTACAGACTTCAACAGATAGTTAGGACTGCAGAAAAAACAACTGCGACCAGCCTGCCTTCCATTGAAGATCTTTATACTGCACGAGCCAGAAAGAGGGCTGAGAAAATATTTACAGACTCCTTACATCCTGGGTATAAACTGTTTCAACTTTTCACTTCAGGACACCACTATAGGGCATTGCATGACAAAACAACTAGACACAAAGACTGTTGTTCCCCCCATCTCATCATTCTGCTAAACACATAATTCCCATAGCACTGCCTAAGGATAACTAAGCATGTAGTAGGACTGTATTACTATTATCCTTCTCATCTTTCCTATTATCTACTCCTATTGATTTGACTATCACTTTGTTTGTTGTATCTTATATTTATGATTGTATCTTATGATTTGTGCTTTGTAGCTTTGTTGCTTCTATGTATACTGAGAGCTTATGAAACACCAGAGACAAATTGCTTGTGTGTCCACTCACCCTTGGCCAATAAAAATATTCTAGTCTAGTCTAGTCTGTTATTTGTATTTGTATTTTCATTCCATTCCATTCTGTATATTGATTGGTGCTGAATAATTGAATTTTTAAAAAGCTTCTGCAAAAAGCTCATTGTATCCACAAAAATATTTCATAAAACAACATTTAAAAATAAGATAATACTAATATGATTGATTTTAATTTTTGACAGATTCTTATTTAATAAATTGCATGGTAAGTCTCCACTCTACCTTGAAGACATTGTTGGGGAGGAAGACAAAGATGTCCGAGCAGAAAGAGAGCGAGTGACACTGGGCTTGTCAGATTGTGATGTGTTGCAGCTCCAGAATCTTTCCAAAATCTACCATCTTCCCTACAGAAGGATTGTAGCAGTAAGAAATGTCAACATTGGAATCCCAGCAGGAGAGGTAAGTTGTTAAACCAAAAGTAGAAAGTGGAAATTATCAGAGGTAAACTCTCTTAGTATGTCTGTAGTTACTTACAAAAAAATGTGCACAGTTTAAGAGGCATCTTCAGGCATTAATCTGGACATATCAGGCATATACCGCCTGCTCATTTCTCTTTTTGCCCTCCTTATGTTAGCAGTAGCAAAAATATATAAATGTAACCATTTAAATAATACTTTGCACATGTTTCATGTGAATCAAAATCTGCTGCATAAGGCATACATCTTACTCTGTATCAGGGAGGCTGATCCAGTATAGAACTCAATCATTTCAGAGATTAGATGGGAGGATTGCAAAAAAGATGAAACATTCATCTGAATGGTTCTGCTGCCCCCCCCCCCCACTTTGAAACTGATATTTTGCTAACTATTTAAGTTATGAATGCATATAAACATGCTGTTTTCGATATCTCCTGGGCTTTCTATTTTGTTTGTTTTAAACATCTTCTTTTATTAAAATTGCAAACATTATGGATAATATGAAAGAATATTTGTTTTTTGAATCTATTTTAAGTCAAGGAAGCTACAAATGGATTAAAAATCATGTGATCTTTTTTCCTCCAGTGCTTTGGCTTGCTTGGTGTGAATGGGGCTGGGAAAACCACCATTTTTAAAATGTTGACAGGCGACATTGGTCCAACTGATGGAAGGCTACTGATGCAAGATGAAACTGGGTATGGAGGATGGGTTCATTCTCCACAAAAAAGTGGAGCAACTTAGCCGAGAAAATAAATCCAAAATGGAACAAAATAATTTATGTTAAAAAGAAATCCAAATAGAATTTTCTATTACTTTAGTGACACTCATTTCTGTAATGCATTTTTAGCCATAGTATAAGTGATTGAGGCCATGTGAAGCTTAAATCAAAGTTTTGTTAAATTATAGCATTTCTAAGTAATTCATTCAACAATATTGTTTTTAATAAATTTAATAAATTCACAAGAACTACAAATCACAGTTGCCTGTCTCCTACCTCAGCTGAATAATTATGTGAGAAATGCTTAGCTGCAAGTGACTTCCCTGGTGTTCTTATGCCACTCTTGAGAATGAGGCCTTAAATGGAAATGCTAAGCAGACATCAAAATGTGGCCTTAGACCACCACCCCAATAAAACCCAGTAAGAAGACTGGCATTTTACAGACTGTGATTAAAATGATCAAAACTCATGCAATAAGTTGATTGAAGCCAACATAAATTCATGCTTTATACAGTAAGTCTTGTCAATAGATTATCCATAAATGTGGCTTTATCCAAATGCAATCTCAGATGCATAGAAGACAGATACAATGAGACAACAATGTCAGGGACATTTTCTGTTTCTACTACACATGTTTGTACAAGTATTTCACATGGCTTCTTGCTATATTAACTTTTAAGCACTTTTAAGAATCTTTCTAGACTTAACAAAAATAATTTTTGCAACTCAGATCCTTAAATGAAATTGATGATACACGCCGTTCACAATTTGGATACTGTCCTCAAGAAGATGCTCTTGATGATTTGCTGACCGTTGAAGAACACATGTATTACTATGCACGATTACATGGCATCCCAGAGGAAGATATTAAAGGGGTATGTAAAATTAAGATTAAGTAGAAATATCAGAAGTTTGCTGGGAAACTACCAAGTAATGCGGGAGTTTTGCTTTTAAGATAGTTTAAAACTGAATAAATACATATTTTGGACTGAAAGCTTTCTGACTACTTAATGCAACTTCTCAATGGGTTCAATTTGTCTCTTTCTTCGTTTTGATTATTAGGGTTTGTTCAGGATGAATTTTTAAGAACATATCAGGTTTCAGCTGCATTTGGAAGCTGGTTTGATGGAAGCAGAGGCTAGAATTTGGCTGCTTATGCTTAATCTTTGACTATCATTTTTTTTCCAAAGGGCCTACTCCCATCATCGTGGAGGATAAATTTCATTTTTCATGGAAATGATCAGCATTGACAAAATTAACATTAGGGCTCTCTTCACCACTTCTAACTTATTCTACACTATGTAACTTATAATAGGTCAGGGATATCAAACTCAAGGCCTGGGGGCTGGATCTGCCCCACGGGATGCTTAGATCTGCCCCACGGGGACACCCTGGAAACAGTGAAGGACCGGCCCACAGTGCCTCTGCCAGTGAAAATTTTCGCTGACAGTGGGTTGCAGGAGGCTGTTGCAGCCAAAAACGGTGCTCGGGGGCCCATTTTTGCTGGGTGGGCACTTGGCCACCACAGGTGCCCCCGACATGAGTGATGCCATGCTGGCCATGCCCATCTGGGCCCACCTGAGGTCAAATACAACCCTGAAGTGGCCCTCAATGAAATCAAGTTTGACATCCCTGTTCTAGGTTATGTGAAAGTCAAATCCTTCTTTTTTCATTTCAAGTTTTTATTTTTATAGCATTCCAATTTCAGTTGAACAGTGTGTTATCTGGGTACAAATATTTTTAGTATATAATAATCAAAATATTTACAATAATATTCATTACATTGATGTTAATTATAGTAGTATCAATGATAATAATAATATTTACGTAACAAATTCATCATACCTTCTTATATCACTGATCCTATCCATCTATTTCCCTGTATCTAGCTCCTGTTTTTACAGCTAGCCCGGGGGGCTGCAACTTTAAATACTCAAAGAGCCATTTGGACCAGTTTCTCATAGAAAAAAAACACACCAGGAGCCACAAAACCTGGGTGGGCGTGGCCAACTTGATGTCACTCACTCCCACCCAGATCCCCTAGCCACATCTACCCAGCCACAAAACCCTTCTCTCTCTCTGTCTCTTTCTCTCCCACTTCTCTGTATCTCTCTCTATACCTCTCTGTACTGCTGTGTCCCTCTCCCTCTCTCTTCCCCTCTCTCTGTATATCTCTCTCCCCCTCCCCCTTTCTTCCCCCCTCTCCCTCTCTATCTCTCCCCCTCTCTGTCTCTCTCCCTCTCTTATCCTCTCTCTCCCCCTCTCATCTCTCCCCCCTCTTTGTATCTCTCTCTCTTCCTCTCCCTATCTTCCCCTCTCTCTCCCTCTCTCTGTGTATCACTCTCTGTGTGTGTATCTCTATGTCTCTCTCTCCCCTCTCTGTATCTCTGTCTCTGTGCCTCTCTCTCTCTCTATGTCTCAGAGTGTGTATGTCTCTTTCTCTCTCTCACTGTCTCTCTCTCTCTCTCGCACTTGGTCTCTCTCTCTCTCTCTTTCTTTCTCTCTAAAAGCTGTGGCTGCGCCAAGCCAGCAAGCTCTCCCTGGGGCTCTTTGCTATTTCTTTTATTTCTTTTTGGAAATCCAGGCTGACCCTCCTCCCCTTCCTTCTCCTTCGTGAAGGCAGGTACAAGGCTGCTTTGCTCCTGCACTAAAGCTCCAGCCAACGCCTTGCCATGTCCCCTCTCCGCAGCTCTTCAGCCGAGCGCGGAGGGCGCAAGCTCCAACTCGAAGCAGCAGGCAGTGAAGGCTGCCTTATGCGCAATATGGCAAGAAGGCAGGTAAAGTGCCATTTTGTTCCTGCACTAAGGCTCTGGAGAGTCCCAAAATGCAGCTTGAGGAGCATCTCCCCATGTGTACACACACCCTCCCACCCCCACCACAGCCAGCCAGGGGGTCACAAGAGGTGAAGGAGGGGAAGGAGGAGGAGGGTCACCCAAAGGAAAACCTCCGCCACAGCTGGCTCTCGTTCTTCAGCCAGCCCGGATTTCCAAAAAGAATAACTAAAAGGAGTAGCAAAGAGCCCCACGGAGGCCCTAACCCTAAACTTAACCTTTGCCATTTGCTTGTTATATATTGCCTTAATCATGTTAATAAATCTCTCCCTAAAATCCATAAATTTTCATTGTAACAACATAAATTGCCCGTTTACATTGTCAAATGCTTTCTGCACATCCAGAAAAATCAATGCCATTTGTTTTCCAGGATGTGCTTCATAATATTCCAAGATATTAAGATCATTCTCAATTTGTCTCTTAGGCAGGAAACCATTTTGATCTGAATGTATAAATTCATGTTGAAGAATGATCATTTTTCTGAATCTCTTTTCCCCACAGATTGTATTTCACCTTCTTTATCGACTTAATCTCATGCCTTACCGATGTAGAATTGCTTCTATGTGCAGCTATGGCACCAACAGAAAGTTATCGACTGCTCTAGCCCTTCTGGGGAAACCATCAGTTTTGCTATTGGTATGAAATACAAACTTTGTGAGGAATAATTATGCTTTTTCATATTCTCTGTCTCATAGTCTTGCAAAGTAGTCTTGCTTTACAACACAGTTTTCTTTTCTTTTTTACTTTATTTTCTAAAGTATCCTCTATTTAATACTCAAAGGTTATAGGGATAAGCAAGTATTCAGTTTCCTTTTGTTTAATTTAATTCATTTCATTTAAATTAAATCATGCTTCCATGATTTCCATGCTTCTGATTTAATTTTAAATTTTCTTTTCATAGTTGAGAGAGATATGGATCTAGTCCATATGTTCTGACAATACCATCTTTTCCTTTTGGTTGCACAAGTTTGAATAAACATATTGCCACATTTGCTTAGCAGTTTTACAGAATAAACTATTAAGCTTATATTTTCCACCACAACTGCAACATGTGTATAATCTGTAACATTTTGCTACCCATGATTTTGGAGGCAAGTAGATTATGAACCTACTTGTGGTGGGTTACTTTACTCCCTTCATTTTTGACCCTTGTCAAAAGGGTTATCAAGTTCTTCCCATAACTATCACCTTCACTCCTTCACTCAGCATTTTTGAAACTAGTTTCTCTTCAGCCTTCAAATAAGCAGCCTCACTTTTTCTCATTGCAAGGTCTGGATAATAATGGAAGACCTCCAAGTAGAAGAAGACCATTTGTTTGTTGATTGGTTTCAGTCACTTCTCCCCATTCTCCCAAAGCCAGATCACACGGTGACCCATTAGCTACTGAACTACTTGTACAGTTATTCTAATATATTGAATCTAGGTAGTTCCACAAGGATAGAATAGGACCTCTCTGTACTCTGATGCTATTTCTGCCATGTTTTATTCCTGTTTCTTGAGCTCATATTAATTTATTGTCCCCAATAGTAAAATGGGAGCAAAACCAGAGAATAAAGCCAATCACACTACTTATAAGGAAGGGCATGCATGCTCACCAATCAGGACAACTTGATTCAGTAGGATTATAAAAGAGGCAATACAGATAGGATACAGACTGGTAATGGGAGCAGTACAGTTTTATTTATCAAATGTATATGCTACCTATCTCAGTTTGAGCCAATAAAACAAAATTATGCTGTCAATGTTTTTTTATTTATTTATTTATCAAATTTAGAGATTGCTCATCTCACAAAGCAACTCTATGTTTTATGTTGGCATACAAGACAACAATGTGGAAATGAGCACTTACCACAGTCAAAAAACATATTGTAAATAAATTAATGAGAAAGGGGTGCCATATAATAGTAGAACAGTAATTAGAAAAGGACCTGAACCAAGTGTCAGTGGGGAAAGCTTCTGTAATGAATTAGGGAACAATTGCTTTCCTAGGGAGCATTTAGCCTACTTTCTGGCTATCAGACCATAATTTCTCTATTTGAAAACTATCAGCAAATATTTTATATCTATCACAGCTTTCCATTTTTATGTATTTGTATTACTATTTACTTTCAAGCCTGATCTCATTTATAATATTAAGTGCAATATTAATTTCATATGATTAGCATTGACTTCAGGTTTGCCATTAAGGTTTTTTGACATCATTATTGTACTGCTGTTTTTGATATAAACCCTGAATCTTCTATACTACCCAAGGTTAATACAAAGATCTATGTTAAATTTCCAGGGATTGCTCTTATTTAGATGAAATTGTGGATCCCACCCCTTCCTAGAAACTCCTACATTCATCCAGGTTGTTTCAGTCCCCTCTCCTGAGTACATCAAAGTTATGGACAACCACAGTATTTGCTTAGATTAGCAAACATTGGTGCATTAATAATAGATAGGCAATGTAAACTAAGTGCAAAAATATAACAAAAATCTCAAGATCTGTATCTTGAAATGGCTTTCTATATCACTCACCTTACTCATAGGTATTCCATGCCTGCAGCAATACTGAAATCACACAAACATTTTTTATCCAGTAATTCTGCATTTTAATAGTATACGTTGTTTCCTTTCAGTCTGTATATTTAAATAGGGAATACATCACACTGAGTGATAAAAGAGAAATATGCACATGACATATTTTTCATCCTATTACTTGTTAGGCAGCGGATAAGCTTATTGGCATAATGGATTCCTTCTCTCTTTGGTATGCTGCCCATTTCCCACACCTGTTCTGGTGTGTGGGGAGAACTTTCAAAGCATATTCAGAGGGATTAGTATAAAAAGGTGTGTGTGTGTGTGTGTGTGTGTGTGTGTGTGTGTGTGTATATATATAGTATATTAGTATATGTATGGTATTCAGCTTTGTTCGGGTATTTTCCCACATCATTATAGTTGTGCTTTTAAAGTTGTAGCAACGTTTCGGCAGAATCTCATCTGCCATCATCAGGCTTCTATATGGTGTTCGTCTATATTAGTATAGTATCAACTTTGGTTGCTATCTTTTATATTTATGTTATACTACAATATCTATAACATACTCCCATAAAAAACAAGTGCTTGTATATATGGTATGATCTCTATCCTCACAGCACCATACGTGTATTTGAAACTACAATAGGGTAATGACAGGTTCCTGAGTTTTTGAGGAGAATTCAGAAAAGGAGGAAACTTCATTCTTATTTTCTTTGTTTTCAATCAATATAAAGAAAAATATAAAAATAACCAGTTATATTTCAGATATAACGGATTCAGCTCATCCATAATTAAATCAGAAGCTCACCTTTCCTAGCTAAGATCTGTTATTTATTTATTTATTTTGTGCAATATCATTTTTGTTGCTTAACAATGAAGCTTTACTCAATAGGAAGCCTTCCTAAGATGGCCTTATTCACAAGCAAGTGAAGAATTTCACTGTTTACCATAGTATAGTGAGAATTATGCTGTAAACCTTTAAAATCATGTTCAGTAAAAATGTGGGAGGAGCTAACAGGAAAGCTAGTCGTGCTTTTACAAATGTTAAAAAAATGTTTTTCTTAACTTGTAATATTTGTTGTCAAACGGTTTGATTTTAGGATGAGCCGAGTTCTGGTATGGATCCTAATGCAAAGAGGCATTTATGGAAAATCATCACCGAGGAAGTGCAGAACCAGTGTTCAGTGATACTTACTTCACACAGGTATAATATGTTATTTGAGGCATAATAGCAATAGCACTTAACAATAACACCAACTCTCTCATTTAATGACTTTAAGGTCAATATATAAAATACAGCTAAAAATTAAAATAGGAAATTAAGGGAAGGAAAAAGAGAGGGGGAAAGAAAATATGAGTTACAAGGGAAGAAAGAAAAAAAGCAATTGACTTCTGACTCTTTTTAGTATGGTACAAGATAACAATATTCCAGCCTTAACTTTTTACTTTTACCCATTAGCATATAAGTAACCATAACAACAAAACTATCAAATCAGCAAAAATAAGGTCAGAGTTTCCTTTTTTTTTCATCACAAGCAAAAAATCCGGAAGTGATATTCAAATGACATTATTAAATATATTCTTTGAATAAAACAATCAGTTTAACCATTTCTGCTTTAACTTCCTTGCTGTGGAAATAATATGTATTTTTATTTGTACTTAATAATCTTTGTAAACTATCACCATTTATATTAACAAAATTCACTGTATTCTTTCAGATTCTTTAACCTTAAAGGAAAAAATACTTTTTTCATCCATTTTAAAGCACTAAACCTTTCTTTAAAACCTTTCTTTAATCAAAACTTTCGAAAACATCTTTTTAAAACTTCCTCTTAACATTGCATAAAGTTCACCATTAAATTTAGATTACTCCCTCCAAATTATCCTCATAGAATAATTTTTTTCTTCTTATATACATCCTTTTAAAAACTCCAAATATTTCTTTAAATTAATACATCTTTTTTTTAAGTTTCTCTTAACATGGATATTCTCAAATATACTCATCGCCTTTTTTTTTTTGCATGCAATTTTATAAAGACTGTCTCTTTGTTCCTTTTGAAGATCCATAGGATCCATTGGATTTCAAAGTTGGAAGGTTCAATTTATTTGGTAGAGGCCAGTGGTGGGATTCATTTTTTTTTTTTACTACCAGTTCTGTGGGCGTGGCTTGGTGGGTGTGGCAGGGGAAGGATACTGTAAAATCTTTGCTGGTTCTCTGAACTACTCAAAATTTCTGCTACTATTCTCCAGAATGGTCAGAACCTGCTGAATGCCATATCTGCTCTGGAATGTTTGTCAAGTAATTATAAGCTTCTCTTTTTCTCAAGGATTTCTCAACCTCAAGGATTTCTCAATGAGACACCTCTAACTCTCAAGACTGGGAAAACAATGGACAAAGAGCTATTGACTTTAAAAGGCAGGAGGAAAGCCTAGGATTTAAAACCTGAGATTAACATATATTTAGAATTTGACTCCTGTATTCTGCAGTAAATATAACTTCTGTGCAATTTCAGCTTACATATTTGTGCCAAGTCTGAGACGCAAATATGTTATTAAGTGTTAGTGATTATGGCATTAAAGCTATACATAGTTTTAAATCTCATTTAAAGCTATGATTTAAAGCTATGACTACCAAGAAAACAGATTTAAAATGTATACTTTTGATAAATAGCCTATGAAATAGCTAACGTTCTCTTCTTGATGCCTGATTACCCAGTTCAATATAAATATTATGGTTTATATTTAGAATAATTTCTACTTTCTTTAACATTTAATGTGTATATCTACTATGAAAAATAATATCCAAGGAAAGTCACAACAAAATTACTACATCAGGGGTGGAATGCTACCAGTTCTGCCTAGCTCTATAGAACCGGTAGCTCTGAAGAGCAGCAGACATTGAACCAGTTCTGTGTTTGCTGCTGTATGGTCCGCCCGTCCGGGCTCTTACCTGTCCTTTATTTCCTGCTTTTTCAACCTCAGCTGCTTTGTGCGGCACAGCTGAGGTTGAAAAAGCAGGAAAAAAGAGGCTTTTCAAATGTTGCGCACCTGCGCACAGTGCTTTTCAGCTTTCCAGGCGGCACAAGTTAAGATTTTTTACATGCACGTGCAGCAAAACGTAGTCACTGAACCAGTAGAAACACTGATTGAATCCCACCCTGTACTATATCTACATGGAGGGTAAGCTGTGGGGCAGAACTGGTAGCATCCCACCCCTGATGTAGTACCATTAAGGACTACTCATTGAATACTGCAGCCAAAGTGGAGAAAGTAATAAAATCTGGAAAGGAATGTCTTCAACTGTCTTCATTTCCAAGTGGGAATTAAGCAATTTAAGGTTATGGTACAAAAGTTCAAAGAAGGCAATGTGTTTGAGGATATTAGTTCAGCTTCTTTAAAATCCATCAATTCCTTACAGTTGTAATGGCAAGTCTAACTCAGAGAATTTTGATAGGCCTCTGCATACTTGGGATCACAGAACATTGAATGGACTGAAGTCCTTGACCTCAAATGCTTTAACGAAGTTTCTTTCTGGGATAAGCAAAAGGCTAGGCTGAAGTGAAGGAAGGCTTGGCTGTCCCACTCTGCAGTTCTTCTGAGTGAATGTCTCTACTAAATAAATTGAACTCAGAATGTCTCTACCAGAGGTGGTATTCAACAGGTTCTGATCAATTCTGGAGAACCGGTAGCAAAAATTTTGAGTAGTTCAGAGAACCGGCAAATACCACCTCTGACTGGAGATTTTACAGTATCCTTCCCCTGCCACGCCCACCAAGCCACCACTGGTCTCTACCAAATAAATTGAACTTTCCAACTTCGAAATCCAATGGATCCTATGGATCCTCAGAAAGAAGAGACACAGTCTTTATAAAATTGCATGCAAAAAAAAGGTAAAAAAAATATGATTGAACCTATGTGGTAGATTAACATTAGTTAATGGATGAATAGCCCCATTGTCTTCAAAAAAGCTTTATCATAAAGTTGTATATTTTGTTGTTTAATGCCTTTGGCTAGAAAGAATTCATTATCTGATCTAGCTAATTGATCTTCATCACAATAGAAGATGGGAAGACTATTCTTTTCTTTAAAATCCATTCAACTCCATTCCTAGATCCATATAACTGATGCACAGCAGAGTCATTGTCTGGCCAAGTGCAATATAGATGTATGGTACCCTTGCTCTTAATGGACTCTACCTGGCAAAACTACGATAAACCAAATGTGCCAAGTTCAAAAAACAGTTGCAGCATGAGACTAGAATCACAGAGAATGAACCATGTAGTTGAATCCAACTCCCAATTTATGCAAGAATCCAAAATGATCCCAGACAGATAGCTGTTTAGACTGTACTTAAACACATCTGGCAGGGGAACCTACCTTGAAAAGAGGTGTCATGGTTGACTCGCTACACATCCCTGCTCACAAACAGACAACAGTAACAGAATAGTGGAGGGAAGGCATTGGAATGTATGGGAGATTTGGGAGGGACCTCTGGAATGCAAGTGTGCCACCTGGAGGCATGAGACAGACCCAAACCACAAGGAACATCCAAGACAGACAGGCTGTTTCCAAAATAAAGCAAGTGCAACTGATTGGTGGACAATGGACAGTGGGAGGTCCAAGTGGCAGGGGGAGGGAAAAAAATTTCCTATGATGTTTGCATATGAAAATGTCACAACTGGCTTTTCTACTTCTGTAGCCATAATGACTTTTCAACAAAGTTATACTCTTGGAGAAAAAAAATGTCATGTGAGTTTCTGTTGCTCTTTAATGCAGTGGGATGGTTGACAATAGGTTCCATTATTGACTAGTAAGACCACTAATTTTGAGTAATTGCTTTTAAATTAATAGAAAACATCTATAGGTAAACATCTACCCAGTTCTGGTATTTTCATCCTAAGAGAATTTCCCTTTTAATATTTTATTAGCCTATCAAATAGTTCCAATACTTCTTCCAAACCTTGTGGAATGTGATTCTTACTATCTTCTCCATGAGAAAATAATGCTTCTCATAACTGGATTGTATACCTATCTTGCAAACTTGTCAGTCCCATCTTGCTGGTTATTGATCAATATATAAGTTGGGAATTTTTTGAGAAGATTGCAAACAACAAGATGTGTTCTAATCATCAGGCATTCTAGTTGAAATGGAATTGAAAATGCAATTCCTTTTGGTTTTCAGCATGGAAGAATGTGAGGCTCTCTGCACACGCCTGGCTATCATGGTAAATGGACATTTCCAGTGCTTGGGTTCATTGCAGCACATAAAAAGCAGGTTGGTAAAATATTTCTTTTGTGACAACTTTTACTTTGCCACCTAATTGAGCAAGCAGTAAAGTGTATTAGAGCAATTTTTGCTCTAAGGGAGGAAATGGTACAAAAATTGCCAAACAAGTAATGTTTTAGCTTTGTGGATAAATGAACCAAGGTGATATAATGAAGTTATTGCATTCTATAACATCTTTTTATCATAACGTAGATATTCAGAACAAGATTTGTCACATTCAAATATCAAAGGATGAGCATAAGACATAGCATAGATAGGAACTCTACCTATACAAACCACTGATGCTGCAGCATTTAGAACATTCTAACCTTCTGAAATTTGAAGCTGACCCAGATCCTTAATGTGTGTTTGGTTGTACTAGAAATTATGCTTCATTTGGTTTTCTAGAAGTACTGCTTGGGATTACTAGAATTTTTATTACACTTTGAATCTAATAAATTATACTTTTCATATTTTCCTCTAGATTTGGAAAAGGATTCACTGTGAAGATGCATTTGAATAACAGTGCAGACAACATTGAGAAGCTGACTCTATTTTTACAAACAAACTTTCCAAATACATATTTAAGGGTACATATTTTTACATATCTATACTGTGAAATGCCTGAATGTCACATTAACAACTTAGAAATCTGGTTACATTTCTTTGGGCTGCAGGGAGATTTCTAACATGATGAAATTTTCTTTCATGCGCTTAAATCAGCAGAATTCGAGGACCCAGATTCTTGGTGGCAATATTCTGACTCTGTAAACCACTTAGAGAGGGCTGTAAAGCACTATAAAGCAGTATATAAGTCTAAGTGCTATTGCTATATCATTAAGGCTAAGCTAAAGTGCAAAAAAGTGCAATGAATATTTTCATAGAAGAGAATATAATAATGTGAGTGCCTATTGTCTAGCCACAAACTAAAAAGAGACCAAATTATTCTTGATTAATGCTCTGATAGAAATTATAGCATCCTGAATTAACTGTAGCATTCACAAGGTAATATTATCAGCCAAATGTTATCACATTTGTTCTATAAAATTAAAGTACACAGTGTGTTTTATAGGTTTTTGGGGGAAATTGGAAATATGTTGTCAGATGGACATCAGTATTTGATTTAAAAATCTGCATTTGTCTGCATTAAATCTTATTCATACAGGACCATCAACTGAACATGGTGGAATATCATATCCCAGTGTCTGCCGGAGGTGTAGCAAACATATTTCAACTTCTAGAAATGAACAAAGCAGTTTTTGAAATTAAACACTTCTCTGTGAGTCAAACAACTCTGGAAGAGGTAAGCAATAAATTTGTCTCATTTTTTGTTGATGCAATAGAAATAAACTGTAAGAAACACATGTTTCTGGATTGCAACTCCTTGGACATTGGATCTTTTTTTCTAGTTTGAGGCAAGATAACTTATAACTGTTACCAGCAATATGTGAAAAGCATGACTTGTATAGAATGCCTATGAATCTATAGAGTGTGATATTTTTAGGCAAAGTATGAAATGCCTGTATTATTTTAATATGTTATATGCTTTCTTTGGCATTATATATAATACCTAGGCATTATGCAGAATGTTAAGACCTATTTAGGTAAAATATGAAAAGAGAATCATGAAAAGAGTCAGGGTTAGAATTAGCCTAACCCTAACTCTTTATTGAAAACATGTATATGAAAATGAAAAAAGAAAAGCAAACTGAAGTATACAACTTTCTTACTGAAAAAAACATAGGACCAAAGTACTCAGAAAAAGCCTAGGAAAGATTCCATAGATGAAAATTCTAAAGGGAAAAACAACTCAAGAAGTGTGAGAAACTCTGAAAAATGTGATCATAAAAGCCCTGTCTAGCACAATACAACTGAAAAAGAAAAATAAGAAATTCAAGAAGAAACCAGCATGGCTGCACAAAGATCTCTCTGATAAACTGAAAGACAAAAAGGACAAGTACAAAAAAGTGGAAAGAGGGACACACAGCTAAGGCAGAATATCAGCAGATAGCCAGAACCTGTAAAGATGGAGTCAAGAAAGGCTCAGAATGAACAAAAACTTGCAACAAAAGCCAAAGACAATTTTAAAAAGTTTCTTTCAACATATTAAAAATAAGAAAAAAGTCAGGAAACAGTTGGTCCACTAAAGAGAGAAGATGGCAAGGAAGTAACAGGCAGTAGGGAGAAAGCAGAACTGCTTAATTCATTCTTTTCATCAGTCTTCATGCAAAAAGAAACTATAGCCAAACCTACCAAAAAAATAAAAGACTACTGTAAAAGACAGAGTAGAAAATAAAAATTAAAATAAGCAAGAAAATGGTAAGAGATACCTATGTGATCTTGACAAATATAAATCACTGGGACCTGATAGATTACATCCCAGAGTTCTGAAGGAGCTGGTGAGTGCTATCTCAGAACCATTGTACCACATCTTTCAAAAATCCTGGAGCACCAGGGAAACACCTGAGGATTGAAAAAGAGCTGATGTGGTTCCCATCTTCAAGAAAGAAAGAAAAAGCTGAGTTAAGAACCTAGAGACCAATCAATCTACATCAATACCTGGAAAAATCCTGGAAAAGATAATCCAAAAACAGTTCTGCGAACAACTAGAAGGAAATAAAGTTATAACTAGTAGTCAGCACAGGTTTGTTAAAAACAGATCATGCCAAACTAATCTTATTTCATTGATAAGGCAACTAAATTAGCAGACCAGCAAAAACTGTGGACATAGTATACTTGGATTTTAGTAAGGCATTTGACAAAGTAGACCACAGCCTACTTCTTAGTAAGCTGACAAACTGTACTCAACGAGTAGTCCTTAGTGGTACTACATGTACACGGAGGGAAGTAAGCAGCAGGGCACCACAAGATTCTGTCTTAGGCCCCATACTTTTCAATATCTTCGTAAATAACTTAGATGAGAGAATAGAAGGGGAACGCATCCAATTTGCAGATGACACTAAGCTGGCAGGAATAGCCAACTCCCCAGAAGACAAGCTCAGGATCCAAAAAGATCTTGACAACCTTGAACTATGGGCCCTGTCTAAAAAAATAAATTTTAATAGAGAGAAAGCAAAAGTTTTACATTTAGGGAGGAAAAAAAATCAAAGATACATATTCGGTGAGATCTGGCTCAAAAACAGTTAAGTGTGAGAGGAACCTTGGAGTCAAAGTGGATGATCACTGAATGTGAGCCAGCAGTGTATGGTCGCAGGTAAAAAAGCTAAGACAATCCTTGGTTATATAAAGAGGGGCATAGAATCAAAATCACATGAAGTATTAGTACCACTTTATAAAGTCTTAGTAAGGCCATGCCTGGAATACTGCAACCAATTTTGGCCACCACACTACAAAAAAGATGTTGAGGCTTTGAAAAAGTTCAAAAAGGAGCAACTAAGATGATCAAAGACCTGGAGATTAAAATGTATGAAGAATGGTTCCAGGATTTGTATTTGGCTAGTCTAGAGAAAAGTGGGGTGACATGATAGCAATATTCCAATATTTGAGGGGCTGCCCCAAAGAAGAGAATTATTCTCCAAAGCACCAGAAGGCAGGACAAGAAACAATGGTTGGAAACTAATCAAGGAGTGAAGCAACCTGGAATTAAGGAGAAACTTCCTAACAGTGAGAACAATTAATCAGTGGAACAACTAGTCATCAGAAGTTGTGGGTGCTTCATCACTGGAGGTTTTAAGAAAAGACTAGACAGCCACCTATCTGAAATGGTATAGGGTCTCCTGCTTGAGCAGGAGGCTGGACTAGAAGACCTCCAAGGTCCCTTCCTATTCTATTCTATTCTATTCTATTCTATTCTATTCTATTCTATTCTATTCTATTCTATTCTATTCTATTCTATTCTATTCCATTCCATTCCATTCCAGCCTACTTGTTGTAACAAGGAAGGATAGATTGGCATTTTAGCGGGAGTATTTTATACTTGGCCAGTGTGCCTTTTGGTACTACATAGAATACCTAGGAAATGTGTGAAATATTAAGCATTTCATACTTTGACATCCCATTTTTGACATTCTATAGATTTCCTGGGCATTTTATGCCAAATTTCACACACTGATGGTAACATAACAAAGTTTCCTGCCTTATAAGTCCATTTCTAAATTTTCTTGAAAATTTATAAAAAAGCAAATTAATTTGTTTTTCTTTTAAAGTATTCTGTCTCACTTTAGTGAATCTTCAAAATAGCAATATCTTAATAAATTGCTATTACAAGATAAAACACTTATTAACTTTTAAACATTACAACCTGAATATTAATATATTCAGTATTGCTAATGAACATGGACTTGGAAGAAAAGATAGATCTTAGCCATAAGCCTAGTAAATAACACTCTTGATCTCTGGGGAAATAATTCCGAATAAAAGCACCCTCCTCTTAATCTCCAAAGTCATTTGGAGGAAGAGCTGAAATACAACTTCATTTGCACTCCATCTCTCTGGGTGTAATACAGCCCTTGGCCCCTAACATAGGAATCAGCTATTAATACTAACAAGAGACAAATGAGTTAATTGGCTTTGTCTGAAATTCCTTCCACCCAATGTCTAAAATTCATTTAGGTTGAATGTTACAAATTTGGTAAAATAAGAGCTGACATATAAGAGGTGTCTTAACAGTACCTGCAGATTTCTTCATTCTTGATAAGCCTCTGTTTTACTTTCACAACCGTAACATGAATTTCACACTTATTGTAGGTATAAGAAGTCCATTTAGAAACTCTCTGAAAAACAGAATGTGTTTAATTTCATGTAATATGTTTTTTTTTTCATTTTAGGTTTTCATCAACTTTGCTAAAGCTCAAGCTAGCCCTGATATTTCAGATGCAATCACCTGTACAAGTCCAGAAGCTTAAGGGAACATTTAACTGCTATACTAAAGCTTTATGCCAAAACCTCTTGACTACTGTATTAAAGATTTTCTTTGCAAGTTATTTTATCCATATTGTACTCTAGACCATGAATCTAGGCCCTTCCCTTTATATCAGATTGGTCTTTACTTCTTTCTCAAGTTTTTTTTTATACGTAAACAATACATAGCAGATACAAATATATTTCTCATCATGTATTTATGAAATTCTTTCCATGCTCCAGTTCCAAGAAATATATTCTCAGTGAAAAGAAGAGCTGCTTTGTGTTAAGGAATATAAACCAAAAGATTGCTATAGAGAGAGATTATGACAATGTTAAATAAAAATAAAATAAATTGACTGCATAATCTGTTAATTTCTCATCTTTGTTTAGTTCTTGGCAAAAGGAAATGTTTGTAAAGATAGAAAAGTATGGAGATATATAGCAAATAATGTGGATAAAAACTAGTTTTAGGAATATTTTCTTTCCTTTAATTGTTTTAAATATCTTTTTGTTGCTCCTTATCTTTGCATAATGTTGCTTACCAGAAGGGAATAGCAACATGATGGGTATGGGTTTGTGAAAGTGTGGCAAATGATATTTCTGTCACAATGCCCAAAATTTGGCTACCTATAACATATTCTAATTGGAAATTTGGGCAACATTGTATTATATTAATTGTGGCCTCACTATTTCATACATGTCTCTTTGTAGTAAGAACTTTTTTCCTTTGGAAATAAACGAAAGCATACATTATACTCTGTAAACATACATGAATATTAATAATTTGTTTTACTTCCTGTGCATCAGTGGAGAATAAGAGGACTTTTATTGCAACAGGATTTGCAAGAAGTTTCACAAGACAGGGAATTGTGAATTACATTGCACATTCTATTGGTGAGCTGGAGAGAGGGTAGTGATTTGCTCAAAATGGTCTTTGTCTTTTTTGCATATTTCAACATCAATGGAAGGGAAAGCAGTCAGAAATCACTGCTTAATTTAGAGTTACCCTGTGGTAAGATGGGCAGCCAATAAAATCAATCAATGGAGCAATGGAGGGGAAATGTAGAGTAGAATTGCCCTAAAAGTTACAATTGCATTTAGTCAAATATCTTCATGCTTGATTCCTAATGACTCCAAAATCATGTCCATGCAATTATCTTGCTAAGAAGATAAAACAAGTTAGTGATTGTCTTCTGGGATGTTTTTGACTTCTAAAACTAGGTGTGTTGATGTTGAGCTTCTGAGTCCAGACAACACCAACTGGGTTACAACTAATGAACAACTTATATAGATGTAGTACACATATAAATATGCCATCATTCTGTAATGCATCTTAAAATTGTACAGTCAGCATCCATTCACTTGCCATGATATAGGTGACTGATAGACAAGAATAGCAATAAGAGGAGAGAGAGTGTGTCAAGTGTATGTGTTTTCTAATTCCTCTCTCCAAAAGAAAAAAGAAGAAAAAAGAAGAACATAAGTCACCAGGAAGGAGGAGGAATCCAACCAGAATCACGAATTCTGATCCATTAGGAGTGGCATCTGTTAATAGGATACCCAAGATTCTAGTGTGGACTCCTCAAAGCACCACCTCAAATCCATGGTGACATTGGGTTGAGAATCTGAAGGCTGAGAGGAAGAAAAGCCCAAGACTGTAGGGGAAAAGTCAATGCTCCTTAAGTAAACCAGATAGTCTCTTCGGCAAATACAATACAACTACAAAGATCAGGTGGATGAATACTTGGAAACTGCACTATGAATCTTAATACTTAGGGGTGACACAGTGTTAGGAACATCTAGCAATCCTGCCCTGAATCTTTGGATGTTGCTGTGGCTTCGACCTGATTTTGCCTAGGTTTATGCCTCTTCCATGTTTTGACCTAGTCGAAGTATGATACTGCCTTGGTAGCCCATTTCTGCCTGCCTTTTGTAGCTTGGAAAATCTCTTTTTGCTCCCTCCCTGCGTAGCTTGTGGAGACAGACGAAATATTGCCATGGTTTTTTGCAACATGTAAAAAAATGAAGAGACACTCTGCAGACAGTCAACAGACTCTAAGCACAATAAAAGTGCGTTATTACTTTTTGATGTTTTGAAACTCTTTAAAAAAAATCTCTTTAAAAAATTAGAAGTCTTTTAGAGGTTATCTTTAGAACTTCTAAAAAGTTTTACAATGTTTGTTAAAGAAATACCCACCTTTGCTCTTCCCTTTTCCTGCAATGCGAGTTTCCCCCGTCTCTTTTAGAAGGGGCTAAATAGCAACAGCACTTAGACTTATATGCCAATTTACAGTGCTTTACAGCCCTCTCTAAGCGGTTTACAGAGTCAGCACATTGCCCCCAACAATCTGGCTCCTCATTTTATCCACCTTGGAAGAATGGAAGGCTGAGTCAACCTCGTGAGATTTAATCTGCCAAATTACAGGCAGCCAGCAGGCAGCCTAATCAGCCTGCAGTACTTGCACTCTAACCATGGCGCCATCATGGTTCATTTGAAAGCATCATGAGAAAGCACAATACTCTTGAGATTTAAGTGGCTGCTGGAAAATCATCAACTTAACAACCAATGAAATATTTTATCTTCATTTGTTTAAATTCCAAAACTGCTTACTTGTTGCCCTCAAGTTCTTTCTTGTAAAGAACTGTATTTTCTAAACTACTTTAGTGCTTCAATTTTTTTATCCAAAATATTTGCTTTTTAAAAACTGCTTGTGCTCATGTTGTTTCTCCCAAATGCTATTTTATTTTAAATCTTATTATTTTGTTATGCTGAAACAAAACACCAAACAAAAACATTATGAAACTACATTCAGTTCCTCAAATTCTGCAGAGGACTGAATCATTATAGCCCTATAAACAATGTGACCAGAATTACAACAAGCCACGGAAAACAACGTAATGCATTTCCGAGTGCTTCCTAGCTCTTTTTCTGTTTTTCAATATAACTGCTGTGTTCCCCTCTTGCATTTGACTGCGTGACACAAAGCATCAAATTACCCGTTTCTTTAATGATAGAATTGCTGTAGCTGCAAAGAATTTAGGGACTGAATGCTAATGCTTTGAAACCAATCTCTAATTCCAGGCAGCACTTCTCTTTATGATGCCAGTGGCATAATGCTGAGTAGTAGAGGATGCTTCTTCATTCTGATCTGTCCTGTGATATTTTATATTTGTTTGAGTGGGGTAAAATGAGAAAGCCATCTTTTGACAAAAAATCTATTGAAATAGGTTAACAAACTTTAGCATTACATTATCACTTATATGAAATCATTTATAGTGTAAGGTCTCCTGGCTTGGCTGTGGGTTGGACTAGAAGATCTCCAAGGTCCCTTCCAGCCCTATGATTCTATCTTTCTATCCTGGGATAAGTTTCATTACAGAAGACACTGGAATATGGGGTAGCATTATGAAATTTGTTACCATTTCTAATTTCAGTAACAGTTTTTAAAATTTATGTATGCATTGAAGCCTGGCAATAAGCAGAAGGTATCATGTAAGAAGATTTTTGGATCTTATCAAGATCACCCCTTGAGAATAAGATTTTTCTGTTCAGTTCCAGATCTTATATCCTGAATGGAGAATAAAACTAAAATGAGTGTTCCCTCAATTTCATGTTGTTTAAATTAATCTAAATTCATCGTATAATTTCCAGTACTGTACCTGAGGCTTTATAGTTCCCCTCCCTGGTGAGCAGGCACTCAGGTCTGATACAATTGCTTTTCAGAAGGTCCTGCAGAAAGTCAATACTCACAAAACTGCTGGTCCTGTTAATATCCCTGGGCAAATACTTAAGGAGTGTGCTGACCAGCTAGCTGGCCACTGTTCTCACAGACATCTTCAACCTCTTGTTGCATCCAGCCATGGTTCCATCATGTTTTAAGACTGCCATCATTGTAATAGTGCCCCCCAAAACTATCATCAAAAGCCTTAATGATTACCGTCCAGTTACACTCACTTCCATTACGATGAAGTGTTTTGAGAGATTGGTTTCATGCCTTTCCCCTACATTTGACTCATTAGTTTGCCTATCCGAAGAACTGCTCTATAGATGATGCATTTTCCTATGGGCTTCATCTTAGTTTGGCACACCTGGAGGAGAATACTCAAGTGCAAATGCTATTTGTTGATTTTAGCTCAGCGTTCAACACAATCATTCCTCAGCATTTGGTGAACAAACTGGCCCTATTAGGTTTTAATACTCTTTTATGTAATTGTATACTGGATTTCCTTATTGATAGGCCCCAATTTGTGCGAGTTGGAAGAAAAGTTTCCAACTCCATCTCCTTGAGTACAAGTTCCCCACAGAGCTATGTCTTGAGTCTGCTACTATTCACCTTGAAGGCCCACGAATGCTATGCCAAATCTGTTACAAATCATATTGTGAAGTATGCATATGGCATGGCAGTGGTGGCTCTTATCTGGGACGACAATGAAGATGCTTATAGGGAAGAGGTGAAGGGTCTGGTGGACTGGAGCAATAAAAGTAACCCGGTTCTAAATGTTAATAAAACTAAGGAAATCATTGTAGTTTTTAGAGCCAGCATGATCACATTCCACACAGTATCAAGGATGCAGCTGTAGAGGTGGTTAACGGTATTAAGTATCTGTGGGTGCGGATAAGTAAGTAATAATCTGAACTGGTCTCTCCACATGTCATCCTTAGTGAAGTGTACAAACCAGTGTCTGCATTTCCTGCATCGGATGAAGAGATCACATCTTTCTCTTTCTGTCCTGGCCACTTTTTACAAAGGCACGATTAAGAGCATTTTAATAAACTGCATCACTGGTGGCTGCAGTACTTCAGAAAGAAAGTCCATTCAGAGAGTGGTAAGGACAGCCGAGAATCCTGTTATTCAGGATACAGGCTAGAGCTGAAAGCATTGTTAGAGACCCCAAACACCCACTTCACGGCCTGTTTCTGTTGCTCTCCTCTGGGAGGAGGTTTTAAAGTATTTATAGCAAAACTGCCAGATTCTGTAATAGTTTTGTACCCTATGCCATCCATCTGATAACCTTGCATAATTTGTTTCTCTTGCCATGTACAATACTAGACTGTATTGTTTCTCCATGTCATACAATATATGTGGGTATATGCATCATTTTTAATTTATCTATTTGGTTATGTTTATGTATTGGAGATATACACTTTGAGAGCTGTATGCAACAAAATTTCATTTTAATGTATGCCAATTTGTGTACATTCAAGGTGACAATAAAGTTATTCTAAGTCTTTCACTTTACTCTGCATTTGTCAGGACCCAACTCAAGTGCTAAGTCTATTTCTAGACTCAGCATTTCAAGAAATTTAGAGAAATTGGAACTAGTTCAGTGAAGGTTACAAGGATGATCTGGGGATTAGAAAGAAAATACTATACAAAGAGACAAAAGGAGTTGACCATGTTCAGCCTT